AAAGACATCAGTCCTCCATACAACCTGTGACGAGGTGTGAAAGAAGGAATCAGGCGCAGGAGGTAAAATACCAAAGTCCAGAGTTGAACCGTTTGCATAAATCAAACGCCCCAAGCGTCAAACGAAACTGTACAAGGGAAAACATCCAACTTGGCAATAACACAGTGAGTTGTAGCTCAACCGAGCTACACGCTCTCACAACAAAACAATCACTCACAAAGACAAGGGGAACACAGGGAACACTTGTACACATACTAATTAGGGGAATGAGCACCAGGTGTGTGTGATTGACAAGACATGACAAGTGGAGTGATGAGAATGGGATCGGCAGTAGCTAGTACTCCAGTGACGACGAATGCCGAAGCCTGCCCGAACCAGGAGGGGGGGGCAGCCTCGGCAGAAGTCGTGACACAACCAGAAGCTTCATGCTCATAGGGAGCACAGGGGCAGGGGCACCTGCCCCCTCAGATTTGTAGTTGTTTCTCTTTAATACTACTTGCCACTGAGCAATTTTATGAAGTTGGCTTTAACTATCAATCAAGTTAGAGTAGCTAGCTTGACTAACTATCTTAGCTGGCATGCCTGCTGGCAAGGTTGGTAGACATTAGAAAAGCAAGCGATAGCTAAATGTACTGAATAAGACTCATATTCCTTTCAATCTTTTACCCAGATTTTAGCAGAGATGCAGAGAAGCATATTTCATTTCTTTAAAAAAGAACCACCAGACAGGAGGATACAGACAGATCAAAAGGTATGCTTAGATATATAGAAAAATACATTTTTTTGACATAGAATGAAACATAATGATTATGGCTCTAGATTGCAGGAAAAAGCTGTTTCAGGCGTTAGAAAAATGCTAAATTCCCTAACTTCCGGACAGGGGGCATACCCCTCCAGCCTTCCTCACAAACTCTGTGCCCCCTCAGGTCATTGTCATGCTGGAATACCCATCCACAACCCATTTTCAATGCCCTGGCTGAGGGAAGTAGGTTCTCACCCAAGATTTGACGGTACATGGCCCCGTCCATCGTCCCTTTGATGCGGTGAAGTTGTCCTGTCCCCTTAGCAGAAAAACACCCCTAAAACATAATGTTTCCACCTCAATGTTTGACAATGGGGATGGCGTTCTTGGGGTCATAGGCAGCATTCCTCCTCCTCCAAACACGGCGAGTTGAGTTGATGCCAAAGAGCTCGATTTTGGTCTCATCTGACCACAACACTTTCACCCAGTTCTCCTCTGAATCATTCAGATGTTCATTGGCAAACTTCAGACGGGCCTGTATATGTGCTTTCTTGAGCAGGGGGACCTTGCGGGCACTGCAGGATTTCAGTCCTTCACGGCGTAGTGTGTTACCAATTGTTTTCTTGGTGACTATGGTCCCAGCTGCCTTGAGATCATTGACAAGATCCTCCCGTGTAGTTCTGGGCTGATTCCTCACCGTTCTCATGATCATTGCAACTCTACGAGGTGAGATTTTGCATGGAGCCCCAGGCCGAGGGAGATTGACAGTTATTTTGTGTTTCTTCCATTTGCGAATAATCGCACCAACTGTTGTCACCTTCTCACCAAGCTGCTTGGCGATGGTCTTGTAGCCCATTCCAGCCTTGTGTAGGTCTACAATCTTGTCCCTGACATCCTTGGAGAGCTCTTTGGTCTTGGCCATGGTGGAGTGTTTGGAATCTGATTGATTGATTGCTTCTGTGGACAGGTGTCTTTTATACAGGTAACAAACTGAGATTAGGAGCACTCCCTTTAAGAGTGTGCTCCTAATCTCAGCTCGTTACCTGTATAAAAGACACCTGGGAGCCAGAAATCTTTCTGATTGAGAGGGGGTCAAATACTTATTTCCCTCATTAAAATGCAAATCAATTTATAACATTTTTGAAATGCGTTCTTCTGGATTTTTTTGTTTGTTATTCTGTCTCTCACTGTTCAAATAAACCTACCATTAAAAGTATAGACTAATCATTTCTTTGTCAGTGGGCAAACGTACAAAATCAGCAGGGGATCAAATACTTTTTTCCCTCACTGTATAGTCCACTACATTTGACCAAGGCCCAAAGGGCTCTTGTCAAACGTAGTGCAATAGATAGGGGATAGGCAGGGTTGGGTAGTAACGGATTACATGTAACAGAGATGACTTAATCCAGTTACAAAAATAAAGTAACTATAATCAACCCATATTTATTTTTTAAAATGTGTAATCGGAATACAAGTAGCATTTTTAAAAACAGATGATTACATTTTCGATCTAATATCAAGAGGAAACTTTGATAAAAGTTAATTTAGCACAGTGGTTCCCAAACTGTGGGTCGGGACCCACTTGTGGGTCATGCCAGGGGTCTTAGTGGGTTTGCCATGAGCCGTAGAGAAAATGTTGCAGTTTTAAAACAACTTTCATGCAATTCTACTCTTTTGCCATGGGGAAGAGCTAAATTCTTTCAGTTTGTAAGCTAATTTCCTGCAATTCTACCCCTTTTGCCATAGGGTAGAGAGAAATGTTTGCCATTTTACAGCACATTTCCTGCAATTCTACATGACTTATACAATGTTAAGGATATCTGAGTGAGAGTGACTAACAAAATCAGTGTGGGCCCCCTGGAGGTCAGAGCCCCTGGGCACGTGCCCTGCTTGCCCGGTCAATAATTTGGCCATGATTACTACAAGTTTAGATAACTGACTAGACTAACTTACCAACCTAACAATTGTTGAGTGACTGTCAGTGACTGACAAAACAAACGAAAAACTGCTGATACACAATCAAATTTCAAACTTTCACCTTGTGTATTCTACTATTCTAACTCAACAGTAAGTTGAGACCCCTGAGTTCCTAAACTGCCCTTCTAGCGGCAGGGAGCCCTAAGAGACCTCTTGTTGCGTATGCCCCTGTAGCTCTGTTAGTAGAGCATGGCGCTCGCAACGCCAGGGTTGTGGGTTCGTTTCCCACGGGAGGCCAGTATGAAAAGAATTTATGCACTCACTAACTGTAAGTCGCTCTGGATAAGAGCGTCTGCTAAAATGTAAATGTATGCCTGGAGCTGGCCCTGGATCGTTGCAGCATGTACAACATGTCACCCTACCTGGTAGGGGTCCAGGTAGTAAAACCAAATAGAAAGTGTGTTGAAAAGATAATGGACCTATACACTGTATATTTGTGGGTCAAGAAGCAAAATAGTTTGGGAACCGCTGGTAGCGCACCCTCAAGACTTCTCACATTTGGGATGCAGATGTAGAGTTACATTACAGACCAAAACTTTAGTATGACCATTCTAATCATCACAATCCTGATGTTATTAGAGTATATTTGTGATTATCTTGTCTCTCTCGGATCAGACTTCACTCCTCCAGAGGAGTTCTATGACGAGGAGCTTGGGAAAATTAGTGTCCGCCTCGTCGGCTTCAAGACTCTGGTCCACTTACTTGAGCCGGTGAGCGACTTGCTCATTTCCGGGCAACAGGGGGATGGGACATCCGCAGCACTATCCGCCAGTTCCACATGCAGCCTTCCCGAGCCCCCCAAGCCGCCCCACCCTTGGGCCACCGCTGATAAACTTCCAGTAGCATCTGATGGGTCGCTGACACAGCTCCATCAGCTTAACCTCCTTCCAGGTGATCCAGAGGGCATGCAGGCTTCCTGGAGGAGAAGAGGAGGCAGGCGTCTGAGCGGGCGATGGTGGTCACCTTCAGCAGGCAGCACTCCTCGTTGGCCAAGACGGTCAACAGGCACACAGTGCGGCAGAGGCAGAGTCACGCCCAGCAGGAGAGGAGTGACATGTTGGCCAACAGCAAGCATTATGCCCGGAGGAAACTCATCAAGGTGTGCATAGAGGACAGGTACTGTACGGTGGATTGTAACTGTTCTCTACCTCTAAATGTACCTTAATCTCATCATTGTCATTCAGTATGATTTCAAAACCCTTTATACAGCCAGCATAGATGCTTCAAATTACATTTATAATCATAATGTATAAAATATGTTAAAACAGACCCCTTTTCCAAGCATGCTTATTGATAATTCTATGAAGGCCTTATAAAGGGTTTATGATCACCACCTCTGGCACCCCTGTATCCAGAGGGGTGCCAGAGTTAAATGCTATGAACAGTTAAATGCTATTCATAGAGTTAAAGAGTTAAATGCTATGAACAGTTTTTTGGGGTATTTGTATATATTTTATTCTGTTGTTTATGAAACTACAAGGAGTAAGGAACAAGGGAGAGGTCAAACAAAGGGGTCACTGGTCTATTGTGTTTATTGTTCGAGTGAAATCATGGCTATTTATTCACCTCATGGCGTCTACTCATGTTGAAATACCTGTTATGAAGCAAAGTGTATGTGGCTCATTCTGAGATGATACAGTGCACTAGTCTCTCAAATCAAAATGCTATCACAAATACAGTAAATGTACATCTCGACTACAGTTTCGAAAGGCAAATGGTGGATTAAGAATGTGATTTAAGGAGGTAGAAAATAGCCTATTATAAAACAAGTTGCATGTAAATACTGCGACTTGAACTAGTCTGCTTTTTTATCCACAGTTTGGTAGCAAGAGACAAGACAAAAACATGTACAAACATGTCAGACTCAACTGCATAACAACCAGTTTGCATACTTCTCCTGTTCATAGGGCTACTAACTGTTTAATGCCCAGATAAGACCTAAACACAAGTATTGCTAAGTATTGCACAAAATATCAAAGATGAGGTGAGTTCTATATAATATTATTCTAATGGAAATTCACCAGCTGGCAGTCTAAGAGGTAAGAGTAACCTGTAAGAAGTAACCTGTAGTGTGGAACGTCAAAGAGTAACCAATAAGAGTAACAAACATTAATAATCCCAAAACTATTCCCACATTTGAAAATCCCACATTTTAGAAATGCAAAACTACCGATTTCCTTGGGGGGATATCCCAGAACTGGCGTTCCCAGGTCTACCAAAGAGAAGAGGGGTGGATAGGGTAGGTTGTTCCTCAATGCAGAAGGGGTGTAAAGGGAACAAGCTATCCTGGTCCTCTCCAAGTGCACATATTAGTAGGGGTGCAGGGGAAGCAGGAACAGGGCAGAGGGGTGCTGGGTGATACCATTCTTTCACAGGCCAGAGTGGTGCAGGGCGGCCAGGAGAATGGTACCATTCTATCATAGGTCAAAGGGGCAGCGCTTCCAGGACTGTACCATTTGTGACAGGACAGAGGGGGGGGGGGGGGGGGGGGGGGGGGGGGGGGCAGGGTGGCCAGGCTGTCTCTGTTCTCCTCCAGGTACTTGCTGCAGGAGTGAAAGGTGCCGTAGAAGCTGGAAGAAAGGCCTGCGATGTCGTTGGAGATATAGGGGAGGACTCCCGGCGTGGCCTGGTTGTAGTAGGAGATCTGAGGCAAAACACACAGAGACAATGAGATCAGTGGTCCAAATAGCTTTCCACATTATCAGCTTATAGAATAAGGGTGCATACACAGTGTGAAGAAGAAAAGCACTGAGTTAGCCTGGTCCTAGATCTGTTTGTACTGTCTTGCCAACTCCTACGGTCACTGTCATGTTTGGCATGAGAACGACCAAAGAAGTTGGCTTTACAGCACAAATGTATCTTGGACCAGGCTAGCTTTTCGCTGAGCTAACGAAGAGCCCCATTGGTCCACCTTGGTGACAGAGTCGGACTCCTCCCAGATACTGAAGCCGGCACAGAGTACTTCTCCCCGGGTGTATTCCTCAGTGGCAAGGTGGGTGGGCAGGGTGACAGAGCGCAGGGCAATCAGGTATGGGTCCCTGAGAGAGACAGAAGAGGCAGATTGTACCATTAAAACATGACAAGGACATGAAATCTGGAAGGTGTAAATGCACTGTGGGATGCAGTCAAGTAACATTTGGGGTACAACCAAATCTGGGTCAGTTAGGGTGCAGTGAGAGAACAGAAAAGGAATGCAGTGCCATTGGAAATTTGTAAGGATTATGGAAGCATTGGGGAGCAGTGACCAAGCAACAACAAAAATGCATACTGGTGATTACGGGATGCTCATGGATGGATGATAGACAGGCAGAGTGTTACCTGGAGTCACAGGGCTTCCTCCTAGAGGCCATGAGAATGAAGTCCTGGCCCTTTCCCCCCTTACTGACACATGGAGTGGCCACACGGTAGATAGTGTCATCCTCATCTGCCTGGACGATCACATCACATTGTCTACATTGGACAGAAGGGAAAAGGCACAAGGTTTCAATCCAAGCGGATGTGTCAATCCAAGGATAAAGACTGGTTGTGACTACTTGTGTCCGTGTTATAACTAGTTGTAAGTAACTGTGTTGTTGTGACCAATGACTGTATATACAGTGGGGGAAAAAAGTATTTAGTCAGCCACCAATTGTGCAAGTTCTCCCACTTCAAAAGATGAGAGAGGCCTGTAATTTTCATCATAGGTACACGTCAACTATGACAGACAAATTGAGAAAAAGAAATCCAGAAAATCACATTGTAGGATTTTTAATGAATTTATTTGCAAATTATGGTGGAAAATAAGTATTTGGTCACCTACAAACAAGCAAGATTTCTGGCTCTCACAGACCTGTAACTTCTTCTTTAAGAGGCTCCTCTGTCCTCCACTCGTTACCTGTATTAATGGCACCTGTTTGAACTTGTTATCAGTATAAAAGACACCTGTCCACAACCTCAAACAGTCACACTCCAAACTCCACTATGGCCAAGACCAAAGAGCTGTCAAAGGACACCAGAAACAAAATTGTAGACCTGCACCAGGCTGGGAAGACTGCATCTGCAATAGGTAAGCAGCTTGGTTTGAAGAAATCAACTGTGGGAGCAATTATTAGGAAATGGAAGACATACAAGACCACTGATAATCTCCCTCGATCTGGGGCTCCACGCAAGATCTCACCCCGTGGGGTCAAAATTATCACAAGAACGGTGAGCAAAAATCACAGAACCACACGGGGGGACCTAGTGAATGACCTGCAGAGAGCTGGGACCAAAGTAACAAAGCCTACCATCAGTAACACACTACGCCGCCAGGGACTCAAATCCTGCAGTGCCAGACGTGTCCCCCTGCTTAAGGCAGTACATGTCCAGGCCCGTCTGAAGTTTGCTAGAGTGCATTTGGATGATCCAGAAGAGGATTGGGAGAATGTCATATGGTCAGATGAAACCAAAATATAACCTTTTGGTAAAAACTCAACTCGTCGTGTTTGGAGGACAAAGAATGCTGAGTTGCATCCAAAGAACACCATACCTACTGTGAAGCATGGGGGTGGAAACATCATGCTTTGGGGCTGTTTTTCTGCAAAGGGACCAGGACGACTGATCCGTGTAAAGGAAAGAATGAATGGGGCTATGTATCGTGAGATTTTGAGTGAACACCTCCTTCCATCAGCAAGGGCATTGAAGATGAAACGTGGCTGGGTCTTTCAGCATGACAATGATCCCAAACACACCGCCCGGGCAACGAAGGAGTGGCTTCGTAAGAAGCATTTCAAGGTCCTGGAGTGGCCTAGCCAGTCTCCAGATCTCAACCCCATAGAAAATCTTTGGAGGGAGTTGAAAGTCCGTGTTGCCCAGCGACAGCCCCAAAACATCACTGCTCTAGAGGAGATCTGCATGGAGGAATGGGCCAAAATACCAGCAACAGTGTGTGAAAACCTTGTGAAGACTTACAGAAAACGTTTGACCTGTGTCATTGCCAACAAAGGGTATATAACAAAGTATTGAGAAACTTTTGTTATTGACCAAATACTTATTTTCCACCATAATTTGCAAATAAATTCATTAAAAATCCTACAATGTGATTTTCTGGATTTTTTTTCTTCTCGTTTTGTCTGTCATAGTTGACGTGTACCTATGATGAAAATTACAGGCCTCTCTCATCTTTTTAAGTGGGAGAACTTGCACAATTGGTGGCTGACTAAATACTTTTTTCCCCCACTGTATGAATGGACAAAGCCATCGATCACACGACACCATTCATTCCTATGTGAAGACTCAACAGCGCATTGAAGCCAAATTAAGTCGGTTAAGAGGGTCTTTCATTGAGAAACTCATTACTCACTGAGTAACTCAAATTGAAGGCCAACCGGGGTACTGCAGGCTGCCATATTATCCTTATAACTCCTTCTGTGTGCTATTTCAGAATAATCGGTTCAAGGACATACTGTACATCTGGTGTATTAGAAGCAATTATTGTTTTTTTACATGAAGATTGGCATTTACTATAATGGGGGATCCTGTTTTCTGCTAACAATACCTGCGGTGGGCCTAACAATACCTGCGGTGGGCGGTAGGCCTTCCGTGGCAGTTGTTCTCATTTTTACATTTTAGTCATTTAGTAGACGCTCTTATCCAGAGCGACTTATAGGAGCAATTAGGGTTAAGTGCCTTGCTCAAGGGCACATCGACAGATTTTTCACCTAGTCGGCTCGGGGATTAGAACCAGCGACCTTTCGGTTACTGGCACAACGCTCTTAACCACTAAGCTACCTGCCGCCGTGGTTGTAACTAGCGGTGTTTAGTTATGACTACTTGTGACTCTGTTATGACCAGTGTTGGGGGTAACGCATTACAAAGTAACGCGTTAGAATACTCAAATTACTTTGACAGTTTGCATTCGTGGTCAGTAGTGCGCAGGTTATTTTAATTTTCATGTCGATATTTCAAGTCAGTAGCCTGTATTAAGTGGCTTTATTATGTATATTTCGTTTTAATAAATCTGCCTAAATGTTAGTTTGGATTTATGGACAATGTTGCTTTGATGATTTGGATTTATCAAGATAGAATTTCGTTGTGATTGTCACGACTTCCGTCGAGGCTGCCTCCCCTCCTTGTTCGGGCAGGTTTCGGTGTTCGTCGTCACCGGCTTACTAGCTACTGCCGATCCCATTCTCATCACTCCACTTGTCATGTCTTGTCTTGTCAATCACACACACCTGGTGTTCATTCCGCTAATTAGTATGTGTATAAGTGTTTCCTCTGTTCCCCTTGTCTTTGTGAGTGATTGTTTCTTTGTGAGAGCGAGTAGCTCGCTTGAGCTACTCTTCCATTTGTTATTGCCAAGGTGGAATATTTCCCTTGTGATAATTTCGTTTTGACGCTTGGTGCGTTTTATTTATGTAAACGGAATAAACTCTGGACTTCGGTGTTTTACCTCCTGTGCCTGACTCCTTCATTCACACCTCATCACAGTGATGCAACACCTTTCTTTGCACTCATCATACATTTCGATAGTTTAATATGGAATTTCGTTAGAACACTTGGACGTAAGCTATTATTTATACATCTTTCTTTATTATCATAATGTGTATACATTTCTCCTCCATCACACATTTTTTGTGGAACAGTTACATTTCAATATAGGCTGCTGAACTACGAAGGCCAAATAATAATGTGCCAAAAAAAATAAGACACTGTTTATTCCAAAATACACGGTTCAATTTACTAAAACTATTGAAACAACTAGGCTATTAGGAAATCTGACATATATCTCGGTCTTGAGCTACTCTATACATGCTGACTAGACCGGGCATGCACGTGTGTCCACCATCGTGCGCATGTTGGTTTTGTCCATCCACACCAGACGCCATCAGGACACACAGGTTGAAATATCAAAACGAACTCTCAACCAACTATATTAATTTGGGGACAGGTTGAAACACATGAAACATTCATGGACATTTAACTAGCTAGCTTGCTGTTGCTAGATAATTTGTCCTGGGATATAAACATTGGGTTGTTGTTTTACCTGAAATGCACAAGGTCCTTTTTTTCTGGATCTTTGTAGAATTTTGACCCATTTTGAGTCACACAAAATCGTGTGTTCTCTACTCTGACAATTAATCCACAGATAAAAGGGGAAACCTAGTTAGTTTCTAGTAATCTCTCCTCTTTCAGTCTTCTGTGGACTTTATCTGGCAGTTGGCAACCAACTTTAAGGTACATTACCACCACCAGCTGGACTGGAGTGTGGACCTCAGTTCATCTTTCAATCACCCACGTGGTATATGATCCTGAGGAGATGGGCGAGGCGGGACTTGCAGCGCTTCAAGTGTGAAAAATAGAACCAAGTTCTATTTTAGCGTCTGTGTGTGAGAGAGATAGAGTGTATGTGTATGTGCAAGAAAGTGTGCATGCAGGTGTGTATATGTGTATGGAGGTCAATTAAGCAATAAGACATGAGAACCAGTGGATTATGAAGCAATAAGGCCTTAGGAGGTGTGGTATATGGCCAATATACCACTTTCTTAGCCGTGGCCATATATCACAAACCCCTGAGGCTATTATAAACTGGTTACCAACGTAAAAATAAATGTTTTGTCATACCCATGGTATACGGTCTGATATACCATGGCTGTCAGCCAATCAGCATTCAGGGCTCGAACCACCCAGTTTATAATAGTTAAAACACACGGCTAAGGGCTGTAATTAGGGAAATAACCGTTAGGAGTGTGTTATTCACCATAATTAATGGGTTCGACTACCTTATTGCTTTTATCAAACGGTTACCAACATATTTTTATAAAGATTAACGACATTCTTTCATTACAAATGTTATTTTAATGAGACAATTATTTTTATTTAATCCTTCCACCAGGCGATATAGTCTGGACAAAATTTCTGAGGTTGCTAGCCAAGCAGACTGGTCGTCCATTCTATTGGCATGATTGCTAGCCAAGTGGATGGGTCGTCGTCCATTCTAAGCGAAAAAGGTTGCTATGCAGGCTGGCACTTCTCCTTTGCTAGCTAGCCAAGTAAAGCTAACACAATCACATCGAGCAGCTAAAATGACAGCAGACTATGTGCATTTTCATTTGTTTTACTTTTGTTTCTATTGCCATTTCTTTGGATGTATCCACAATAAGGATGCTGATGCATGAATTCGCCTGGCTCAGAGAAGCAGTCTGTCTCATCCGGACATGTTCATTCTCTATGGCACGATGGAGATCACATTTGTAATTTGCAACATTATTGCAGAGGTCGGAGAGGCAGGCAGCACAGTTGGAAACCAAATGCTAGGCTAGAAGCATGGGGAAATAATGTTGAGACACTTTTTTCATGTGGAGATAAAGTTTATGAATTGCCTGGCTGGGCTGTGGAACAGAAGATGCACCTTGATAACTTAAATGGAACTGTTAACAGGCATTACCTGTAGACTATCGTGAATAAATAACAGCTATCAACCAGTCGCCATCCAGGATCCAAATGTACCATTTTATAATGTAGATTGAGAAATGCAATTACGGTAGTTTATTGAGTAATGTCAAGAGACGCATGGCTCTGCTCATCCAATTTCCTAACGGTGGACGCCAGGTCCCAAATTCACTTCATTATTTCATTCTCAGGATGGGAAGAGACGCTACAAGGAGGCTATCGCTAGGAAGAAAATCCGCCTGGACAGGTGAGGAGAGGAGGGAAGAAGGGAGGCAAAATCATCACTGTGGTATTCCCGGTCACACTTTATTTGGACAGTCCCCTATAGATGATCTACAGATGCTCACACTATCAACCAACTATCAATTGTAACTCTGTTGATATGCAACCACTTGCTACGGTTACGGTAGGGTTAGGTTTATGGTTAGAGTAAGGGTTAAACCATAGAGTTGTGCCGTGTGTCTTTCCATTTGACTAGTTTTATGAAAACTCTAAAGTTGCGATCTCATCTGTTATGAGATCACTATATGTTTACAGGAAGTACATTATTTCCTGCAAGCTAACGGAGGTGCCTCTGTCTGTACCCTGGGACTTCAGCAACCAGGTAAGACAAAGCACACACACACACACAAACACACAAACACACAAATATATATATATATATATATATATATATATATATATATATATATATATATATATATATATAGTGGGGAGAACAAGTACTGTATTTGATACACTGCCGATAAAATGCAAATTATTTACTTAAAAATCATACAATGTGATTTTCTGGATTTTTGTTTTAGATTCCGTCTCTCACAGTTGAAGTGTACCTATGATAAAAATTACAGACCTCTACATGCTTTGTAAGTAGGAAAACCTGCAAAATCGGCAGTGTATCAAATACTTGTTCTCCCCACTGTGTATATATATATATATATATATATATATACACACACACACACACACACACACACACACACACACACACACACACACACACACACACACACACACACACACACGTATACACACACACACACACACACACACACAGTTACTCAGAGGAATCCAAACCGGTTCATTTATCAGATGTACTTCAGCTACAACAATGTGTCTGCACTGAAAATAATGGCTGCTCAAAGCAACTGGATGTTGAGCTCTGAGAAAAACAAGGTAAGTCTTGTTTGTGGAACAGTTAAACGTAAAGGCATCAATCATTATAAACGTTATTAAACAAATTAGAAAAAACTTATAGGACTGTTTGTTTCCTGCTCTCTCCCCTCTCCTCCCTACTGTCTAATAAAGTCATGACTTTCTAAGGCCAGCTGAAAATGCACAGTCATAGTGAGTATTTTCATATTCAGATTAAGTTGGATGGAAGCAATGTGGAACAAGTCAACCGCTTTCTTAAAGGAGCTACATATAACATTTCCACTTGCACTAAATGTTGATGATATAATGATGTATGTAGTAGTAAATGAATAGAACCCTACAAGGCTCTGCTTTAACCCATAAAGGTTCTATAGTAATTTAAATGGTTTAACCCACTCCTTCCTGATCTGTTCCCAGGTCAGTCTGTACACGCTGGAGGAGAACCAAATGCTTTGTTTTAAGGTAGAGACTCATGTCAATGTCCCCGCTGAACAGGCCTGTAGTCACAACAGTTAGAGCTAGTCACAACAAAGTCACAGCTAGTCATAACACAGTCACAAGTAGTCACAACTAGACACAGCTAGTCACAGCCTAGTTACTTACAACTAGTTATAACAAAGCCCCAAGTAGTAACTAGTTAGAGCTAGTAACAACAAAGTCATAGCTAGTCATAACCAGTGTTGGGGAATGTTACTTTTGCCATTAAAAGTAAGTCGTTACGTTACACCGTTACTTACTGTGGAAAGTAACTCGTTAGTCGTTACATTACTTTTGCGTTACCAAAAACAGAAAACCCTCTGAAAATGCTTTGTGCGTGTTGGTCTTTGTTACGCCCAGTAGAAAATATGGCTTGCCTACTTAGTACACGCGGGATATTCAAAGTGGAACGTTCCGCTAAGCACTTAACATGCTGACCACATAACATGCTGGCCGCGTTGCGTGCGTGAGCGTTGCAAAATAAATGTACACATACAGCGCATTCAGAAAGTATTCGGACCCCTTCACTTTTTCCACATTTTGTTACGTTACAGCCTTATTCTAAAATTGATTAAATAGTTTTTTCCCCCTCATCAATCTACACACAATACCCCATAAGGACAAAGCAAAAACAGGTTTTTAGAAATGTTTGCAAATGTATTAATAATAATAAAAAAAGAAATATCACATTTAAATAGGTATTCAGACCCTTTAAATAGGTATTCAGACCAGTTTCCCATTTCTTGTTTGTTGTTAGTCCAGTAGCTATACTGAACAGAAATATAAACGTAAGATGCAACAATTTCAACAATTTCCACAATTTTACTGAGTTACAGTTCATATGAGGAAACCAGTCAATTTAAATAAATTCATTGGGCCCTAATCTATGGATTTCACATGACTAGGAATACAGATTTGCATCTGTTGGTTACAGATAACCCCCCCCCCCCAACAAAAAGGGCCTCACAATAGGCCTCAGGATCTCGTTGCGGTATTTTTGTGCATTCAAATTGCCAATCGATAAAATGCAATTGTGTTCGTTGTCCATAGTTTATCCCTGCCTGCCCATACCATAACGCCACTGCCACCATGGGGCACTCTGTTCACAATGTTGACATCAGCAAACCGCTCGCCCACACGACGCCATACACATGGTCTGCGATTGTGAGGCCGGTTGGACGTACTGCAAAATTCTCTAAAATGACGTTGGAGGCGGTAGAGATATGAACATTCAATTCTCTGCCAACAGATCTGGTGGACATTCCTGCAGTCAGCATGCCAATTGCACGCTCCCTCAAAACTTTAGACATCTGTGGAATTGTGTTAGGTGACAAAACTGCACATTTTAGAGTGGCCTTTTATTGTCCCCAGCACAAGGTGCACCTATTTAATGATCATGCTCTTTAATCAGCTCCTTGATATGCCACACCTGTCAGGTGGATGGATTATCTTTACAAAGAAGAATGCTCACTAACAGGGGTGTAAATAAATACATTTGTGCACCATTTTTTTTAGAAATAAGCTTTTTGTGCGTATGGAACCTTTCTGGGATCTTTTACTTCAGCTCACGAAACAGGTGACCAACACTTTACATGTTGCGTTTATATTTTTGTTCAGTGTACTTTTCAGACTAACTCCTCCTCACCTGTTCTTGAAGGCATTATTAACAATGGCCTTCAGCACCAGTCGGTCACCAATGTGAGACGGAGCCTGAAAGTGGAACATGTCTATGGTCCTCAGAGTGGGGTGGGCACTACACAGACGACTGGAGAATGGATGTGTGCGAGAGAAAGAGGGAGAGAGAGCGAGAGAGAAAGAGTGAGAGAGGGGGGAGAGAGAGAGAAACAGAGAGGGAGGGAGGGAGGGAGGGAGACTATTAGTCCATCTCACTTCTTCTACAGAGGCTCAACCCATTTGTGACCAATCTACTCATTCTACTACAACTACATCCACATTTTGACACAATAAGAAACCTGGACTGGCAGGTCACAGACATACAGGGACTCACCTGGCTGCGATGGTGGCCACGTTCTCCATCCAGGCCATGATCTGGCCCCCGAAGGTGCTGACCTGGTGGTTGGCATGGGGCGGCAGCACCAGCTCCACGCTCTCTACCTGCGTCCGCTCGGCTGGCACTGCATCCTCATACTCCTGGCACTCACCTGGTGGCACACACACACACAGGCATGCGCACACACACACACACACACACACACACAAGAGCGTAATGCAACTGCACTACACAACAGGGTGTGGCATGGGTGTGACTACCACTGATAAGGGCAGTTATTTTACATTAGAGATAAGAGGGGAATTGGACGTCTAAAGCATTTTGTGACCTTCCTAGTCAGGTCATGTAAGGAAAAACTCCATTCCTTAGTTCCAATGGTTCCTGTGTGTACTGTACCTAGTTGAGCTGTGCTGCTGCTCAGTAGGTCTTTGATGATCTCAGCGTGGATCAGTCTCATCCTCCTCCTCTCTGCCGCGATGCTGTACTCCATCTGCTCCGTCTGTGTCCGCGGAATCACTTGCTTCAGCTGCATCTGCACACGCACACACACACACACACACACAGAATGTTGGTGGGCGGTGTGTGTCCTCCTATTGAAGCATGACATATTGATGTGGTTGATACGTCCAACACTGTCAAACCAAGATGGGTGCTCTCTCTCTCTTTTTCCATTACTCCTTCTCGATCTTCAGCCCTCACCTTCCCCGCCTCAGTGCGTCGCGCCACAGAGATGGCAAAGGCATTACACACGTTCCACTGGCAGTTACTGAACAGGTCCTCACAGCTCACTGCGATGCCCACCTGAGGGTAGTGCCCACGTGGCATCACATCATGACACCAGGCAGTGTATTAGACATATTTTTACAACACATCTATTACTAAGGCTGCATCCCAAATGGCACCCTACAGCGCCTTGCAAAAGTATTCATCCCCCTTGGCATTTTTCCTATTTTGTTGCATTACAACCTGTAATTTAAATTGATTTTCATTTGAATTTCATGTAATGGACATACACAAAACAGTCCAAATTGGTGAAGTGAAATGAAAAAAATAACTTGTTTGAAAAAATTCTAAAAAATAAATAACGTAAAAGTGGTGCGTGCATATGTATTCACCCCCTTTGCTATGAAGCCCCTAAATAAGATCTGGTGCAACCAATTACCTTCAGAAGTCACATAATTAGTTAAATAAAGTCCACCTGTGTGCAATCTGAGTGTCACATGATCTCAGCATATATACACCTGTTCTGAAAGGCCCCAGAGTCTGCAACACCACTAAGCAAAGGGCACCACCAAGCAAGCTGCACCATGTGTACTCCTGAGTGGCGCAGTGGTCTAAGGAACTGCATCGCAGTGCTAACTGTGCCACTAGAGATCCTGGTTCGAATCCAGGCTCTGTCGCAGCCGGACGCGACCGGGAGACTCATGGGCCCAGCGTCGTCCAGGGTAGGGGAGGGAATGGCCGGCAGGGATGTAGCTCAGTTGATAGAGCATGGCGTTTGCAACGCCAGGGTTGTGGGTTCGATTCCCACGGGGGGCCAGTATAAAAAAAGATATGTATTCACTAACTGTAAGTTGCTCTGGATAAGAGCGTCTGCTAAATGACTAAAATGTTAATGTTAATGAAGACCAAGGAGCTCTCCAAACAGGTCAGGGACAAAGTTGGGGAGAAGTACAGATCAGGGTTGGGTTATAAAAAAATATCCTAAACTTTGAACAGCCCACAGAGCACCATTAAATCCATTATAAAAAAATTGACAAACCTGCCAAGAGAGGGCCGCCCACCAAAACTCACGGACCAGGCAAGGAGGGCATTAATCAGGGAGGCAACAAAGAGACCAAAGATAACCCTGAACGAGCTGCAAAGCTCCACAGCAGAGATTGGAGTATATGTCCATAGGACCACTTTAAGCCATACACTCCACAGAGCAGGGCTTTACTGAAGAATGGCCAGAAAAAAAGCCATTGCTTAAAGAAAGAAATAAGCAAACACGTTTGGTGTTCGCCAAAAGGCATGTGGGAGACTCCCCAAACATATGGAAGAAGGTACTCTGGTCAGATGAGACTAAAATTGAGCTTTTTGGCCATCAAGGAAAACGCTATGTCTGGCGCAAACCCAACACCTCTCATCACCCCGGGAACACCATCCCCACAGTGAAGCATGGTGGTGGCAGCATCATGCTGTGGGGATGTTTTTAATTCGGCAGGGACTGGGAAACTGGTCAGAATTGAAGGAATGATCGATGGCGCTAAATACAGGGACATTCTTGAGGGAAACCTGTTTCAGTCTTCCATAGATTTGAGACTGGGACGGAGGTTCACCTTCCAGCAGGACAATGACCCTAAGCATACTGCTAAAGCAACACTTGAGTGGTTTAAGGGGAAACATTGAAATGTCTTGGAATGGCCTAGTCAAAGCCCAGACCTCAATCCAATTGAGAATCTGTGGTATGACTTAAAGATTGCTGTACACCAGCGGAACCCATCCAACTTGAAGGAGCTGGAGCAGTTTTACCTTGAAGAATGGGCAAAAATCCCAGTGGCTAGATGTGCCAAGCTTATAGAGACATACCCCAAGAGACTTGCAGCTGTAATTGCTGCAAAAGGTGGCTCTACAAAGTATTGACTTTGGGGGGGTGAATAGTTATGCACGCTCAAGTTTTCAGTTTTTTTGTCTTATTTCTTGTTTGTTTCACAATAAAAAATAGTTTGCATCTTCAAAGTGGTAGGCATGTTGTTTAAATCAAATGATACAAACTCCCCCAAAAAATCAATTTTAATTCCAGGTTGTAAGGCAACAAAATCGGAAAAATGCCAAGGGGGGTGAATACTTTCGCAAGCCACTGTATATGCTCTATGGCAGTGGTTCCCACATTTTTTCACTCTGGCCCCCCATTCCATTAATGGGGAACCCCCTCCCCCATGCCACGTCTATTTCTATGGGCACAAGCACTGGACATGAAACAAACTGTTCATAGCATTTTTGTTGGTGGAGAGAAAATGTTGCAGGTTTAAAGCTTATTTCCTGAAATTCTATAAATTTTGCTATGGGGTGAAGATTTGTTATTGTTGCCATTTTTAAGCTAATTTCCTGCAAGTCTACACATTTTTCCATGTCTTATTTGTGTTCATCAAGAGTTCCTTAACTATTAACTACATAACTATTACATACTGGACAGTATTAATCCCCTGTAGGGCTAACATGACTCTATAGCTGTTGATCTCAATCCACATCTTGGAGGGCTCCAGTCAGTGTCTGCATCCCAAATGGCACCTTAGTCTCTATATAGTGGTTTTCTTCCATTTGGTGCCTAATGAACACGACCCAGGTCTAGAGGGACCACTTTCTCTTTAGAGGTCATACTATGAGGTCAGAGGTCATAGCTCACCAGACAGACAGGCTGTGGAGTCCATCCACTTGAGCAGCTGGCCTACGCTGACCTCGCCACAGTGGTTGGCGTGGCAGGGCAGCACGATATGGCTCATCTTAACCTCTGTGGGGTTCCTGTACACCTCGCAACTCTCTAGGATGAACAGGGGGTCCTCGTTCCCCTTCTCAAACGCCATGACTCTGAAATGGACACAAGGGGAAACATTTGAATGTTTATAACATGAAAGGGACAGTCTTGATCTAGTGCAGTGGTATTCACACTTTTTCAGCAGGGATCCCATTTTTACACCAGAATTTCTGGCAACCCCACCCACCCCAATCACACAACCTTAAAAATCGGTAAATGTATATTTATACATCAACAAATAACCTTAAATTCATTACATTTTCATCTCCCTTATCAAAATGAAAAGAAACCAATAAATACATTTACTCAAACTATTTTTCTAATTATCTTTCTCAAAAACGTTTGTATATTGTCCACTACAATTATCTGTACTTTGGCGACCCCACTGCAATTCGGTCACGGATCATCATACAACATTGCCTTGACCCCAGGCTCAATTGTTACAGAGATTTAGCTGTTTGGTGGACGAGATTATATATTATTACATTTCTTTTCCATACAGGTGCTCCTAGATTAGTTTAAAAACATAAACAATAAAGAATACTGTTGTTGTATCAAGCTCTTTCAATATATTATTTCATTATGCAAAGGACTTAATGGAACCCAATTCATCACATTCGTGGAAATCCAAATCTATCATGACTAGGTATGAGGAAAACAAACAGAACAAAACAGTTTATTTCCTGTCTGAAAGCTATTTGGCTCTCAGCAGGACTTGGCTTTGATCTGTCTAAAACAATGCTTGAGGTGAACAAGAGGCAATTCCCACCCTAAACTGCTGTGTTTATACAATGGGACTCATTGACATTTCTAAAATAACTTCTGAAGGAGTCACATTTCTCAATGAAACAAATAACTAAGCAGCACAGTAATTTTGGACCAGAGCCACTGCGCCAACAAAAGTTATTGTGCTTCACAAAACAAGATGCTTTACTGGGGAATAACCTGCAGCTCAATTTGTCTTCTGACAGATCCTTAAAACCATTATTTCTTCCTCGAAGAACAGTGAGAAATACTGTATAATATCGTTTTTGGATGGGAATCTGGAGAGACTCTGACTGTAGCTTACACACATTAGTTCCAAAGCAAAGCAGTATTTATGTTCAAACCATTATCTGGTTGAAACAGAGTCAATTTAGAGACTATGTATCCATCACAGCTGAGATGGATAGAATCGTCATAGCGCCATTTGGCATAAAGTTATTAACTGTCTGTTCCAACTCTCATGGAATGGTTACCTGTCTCTTGCTAACCGGACATGCGATATAGCGGAGCAGTTACAGGTAACGTTACCTCCAATAGACCTGTCTAGTGGACAATAACGGGATTGGTCCCGTTATCAATCCCGTTATTCGGTTATCATCCCACACTCATGAGATAGCTAATAGAGATAGGCTATAGGCTATTGGCGTGTTGATACTACTGAGGGAGTATTAAACTATAGGTATATATCCACACAACACAAAGTCTCAAGTCTGTCTGCAGAGTAACTTGACAGCGTAGGCTAAAAACAAAGATTAGGCAATCGCTTATTAAACGTTTTACATAATTTCCCAAGACAGTAAAAATGACTTACCCAAAGTGAAATTATATGCAGACGATCCGGTCACATTTGCTTGAATGAATGTGCACAACAAAACGTCCGTAGAGGCAGTCTCATGCAGAAGAGTCTGCACACCAGACACTACCCCCTCTCTGCTCATTCCTCCGACGCAACTGTGTGGTGTCGCAGCTAAACAGCTCACACACATCCTGTTGTTACCCCGGTCCCAAAGCACTCATAGGCGGCCCAGTCCTCGCGCAGCAGTCACTCCCAGCTGCAGTCAGAGCAGGATATGTTCACCCCTCCGCGTCCAGACTGCAAATGAATCGCGCATGCGGGAAGCCGCCGCTGGCTGATCCCGCCCTGCCTTTCATTCAGGGCGGGATGTAAATGTAGGGTGTTTTTACTCACTTTTTGTCTCTCCCACGACGTTATTCCTCTCTCCTTCAGCATCCATCACAATTACAATCACATGGCCAATTATGCAAATTAGGTGATTACGTCATTTAGCGACTACTAGCGAATTTTAGGACAGCCAATAGCTACTTTCCTTACTGAGGAGTTGGCAACACTGAGTCTGTATAATGCTGTTGCATTTATTGGAAGTCCATGCAAGGCATGACCCAGCGCCCCTGCAGATATGGAGCAAGGACATTGCCACCTGTGCCATAGGTCCAGACCTATTGGCTGGTTCCATGGGAGGTAACACTATTCCTCCTCTCTCCCGAAGTGTTCCATATACAAACCCCAATGTGAACAGTGGACACTTCCATCAAAAGACTTAGGCCCTATGTAAATTTACATTTCAGTAATTTAGCAGATGCTCTTATCCAGAGATAATTTACAGGAGCTATTAGGGTTAAGTGCCTTGCTCAAGGGAACTTGGACTGGTTTTTCACCAAGTCGGCTCGGTGAATCGAACCAGCGACCTTTCGGTTACTGGCCTACTAGGCCTACTACCACCAATGTAGCGATTGAGAGCAAACAACCCAAATGTGGCTTAATCCAGATCCAATGACCCTGTACTGAATGAGCGAACTATCAACTGTGCCATTGGGGTTCAGACCTCTAGACCGAGGCTGTGGTAGCATAGACACACATGAATCATGCTTTCAAAAAAATCTGTTTAGTCTGTTTGGGAGGAAAGAATTCCTATACATCAAATTTAAAAAATGGAAACGTGGATAGAGCCCTTTATTTATGCAGTTGGTGAATTCATTTTTGTTTTTCGAGTTATTTGTCTTCAATAGATATGCAATATAACTTATGTTATAAACAGGGTGGTTCAAGCCCTAAATGCTGACTGGCTGAAAGCCGTGGTATATCAGACCGTATACCACGGGTATGACAAAACGTTACTTTTTACTGTTCTAATTACGTTGGTAAACAGTTGATAATAGCAATAAGGCACCTCTGGGTTTTGTGGTATAAGGCCAATATACCACGACTAAGGGCTGTATCCAGGCACTCCGTGTTGCGTTGTGCATCAGAACAGCCCTTAGCTGTGCTATATTGGCCATATACCACACCCCCTCGTGCCTTATTGCTTAAATAGTCTATAGTTATTATAAGGTTATAGGTTACAGGTTACAGGTTTCATTGTTTTATACCTAATATTTACAGTATGCCTAATGCCATGTTCTTCATTGCAGAGTGAAACGAGCGCCGCACTATGGCAGGTTTGTCCTGTCACAATTTACCCCTATGAGTAATAGTCTGCTGTCGGTTTCAAGTTCCCCCTATAAACCAACTGTGACCAGAAAGATAGAATCCTGTGGGTTCTCACAGTGGAACATCAACTGCTCAGTTGAAATTCATTATCATATCTGAAGGCTACTGTAGACCTATTTTATTTACATAAAGTCAGTTATGATGATGGTTTTCAGCAACCTAGTTTGAGTCAAATCGGATTTAAACTAAATGAGAAGACATTAATACATACTTAAATCATTTTGGGAAAATTATAAACTGTATGTGAGCCTACAGTAGCCTATAATTAGCAACATTCCCAATAGCAGAAGGCTAATGACAATACAAACGGTAGAAATGTGATAACTAGACATTCTAATTGCAACAATTGTGATAGACAGATGCGTTAGAGAGCGTGTAGTAGACTAGTCAGCGGTTTTAAGGAACCCGTGAACCGAGTCCATATCAACAACCAATAGGATGTCTCTTTTTACTTTGAGTTTCCTTAAAGGGGAAGATGCTGCTACTTCAGTTCAGATCTAGCCTATCTCTTAAATGGTAAATTATAAATATGAAACTAGATGGAAACAGGTGGTAGCCGAGGCCTATAATAAAATATAAAAAAAACTTAATAGCCTACTTATTAAATTAAGGGAAAAAACCTTTGTATTTCACAATAGTCTATGGCTGTGATATTTTAACCATTGAAATGGAATAAGATATGGGTAAAAATACATAACATTTGTTTTATTTGCTTATGTCCTACGGATAAGGTATATATAAGGTATATATATGGGCGGCAGGTAGCTTAGTGGTTAAGAGCGTTGTGCCAGTAACCGAAAGGTCGCTGGTTCTAATCCCCGAGCCGACTAGGTGAACAATCTGTCGATGTGCCCTTGAGCAAGGCACTTAACCCTAATTGCTCATGTAAGTCGCTCTGGATAAGAGCGTCTGCTAAATGACTAAAATGTAAAATGTATACTATGGATAAGGCTCTAATAATAACTGAACATGTAATAAGTTGTCATCATAGAGAGGGCTGAAACTGGAGTGATCTGGTATCTAATGATTTGTTGAAATGCTGAAATAATCGTATAGAGATGATACCTCTCAATGTTGAAGATATCTTGCCTTTTATTCTAAGGTTGCTTGATAATAAACGTTGGGATATGTAAAGTAGATGACCTACTGTAACAACCACCTCCAATTGGCACCAAAAAGGCATGACATAACTTTAAGGCAGGACTAGACGGAATTACTGTACGCTCATTGGTGAAAAATACTTGCCAGTCAATTTAGCCCTATCCCTTCCCGTTGACCAGGCTCGGTTGAGAAGTGCGGTTGGAGTGTGAGAGGGTCGCGGCCGAGGCTGACTGATGGTCTTACAGATGAAATAGAGAAAATAGAGAAAGAGAAGACGGGCGTCCTCCTCCTTCAGAAAACCATGTTCCCCAAAGGCAAAGTGTCCGCTGTGCCGTCGGATGGCCAAGCACGGGAAAAGTAAGTTTTAAAACATATGTCTTACCTAATGCAAATTGTTTCCCCCCTCGGGTTTGTGGTTTGCTGGACAGCTGAATTCAAGGAGCGAATTTCCTCATACGAGGATGGAATTGAATGAACCGCCTTGTCTGCTCGCCATTCCTTCATTACCCTAGCTTCGGCGTATTATTATTCCTGGGCCTCATTACTGAACGTAAATTAGTGTTTGTATTTGCAATTCAGCGTCTAAATCGTTTGTATTATTTTTACGGAAAACGTGAAATGAGTAGCGAAAAAAAAATAGCACCGTCCAATTTGGCTTTACGTCGTTTCTCTGTTGCATTAATTGATACAGTTTTGCTTCCCCTAGTGCTTCGGTTGCTACTTTGTTTCAGTTCGCTGCTACGAGGGCAGTCACCAACTCAATCTCATTTATCGATTGTTAATAACGCGTTTTCTTCTTGGTTACAATGTTTCCTATTGTATATGTTTGGAAAGCCATTGTGCGAAAGGCCTTTTGGAGTCGGGGGTTTATGCAAACGCCTGAATGAAAATTAATGTCTGTCGATCATGTACCCTAAAGTGTAATAAATATTATTTGATTAGAGACCCAAACACCCATTAGGCCAACTTGTATTTACCCCAGTTTGTGTATAGACTAGGCTACTATACTGTGTCTGCGTCCTAATAGAGCCAAAGTAGGCTAGTTTAGAGTTTGCTAAACTGTGTAGTTCTAGAACACTTGGTTTTTATGCCTTTTATATTGTTCAAACTGTAGTTTATTTTGTTCACAGGTTAGCTTTATACGTCTATGAATATTTGTTACACATAGGAGCACAGAAGTCAGCACAGACCTTTTTATCAGAGGTGAGTATCCTACTACTGGCCTATCCATGTGACCGAACTTCAATAACAAACGCATTACCATTTGAATAAATTAATTTCATTGTAAAAAAGTAGGCCCTATTGTTCATGCACAATTGTTTTATTCTCCACTTTCCAGATAAGATGGGAAAAGAACATCACACTCGGGGAACCCCCTGGGTTCCTACACTCTTGGTGGTGGTAAGTGTTCCGTATGTCACTGTTAACAATACAACATGTTGTACCATGTACAGTATTCAGTTGCTTTATGACTTGTGTGTCTTGTCCACAGTGTATTTTGGGACCTATATTGTGCCGCCCCAGAGAGAAGAGAGACATGTGATCATTCCAGTGAAGCGAAGGCCTTCCATGATTATGTGAGTTCTGCTCCTCCTCATGAGACTTCCTGCTGCACATGTTGCTGGGGTTCTGCTGAAGAGCCTGGGGCCGTATTTACAAAGTGTCTCAGAGTAGGAGTGCTGATCTAGGATCAGGTCCCCTCCTGTCCATATAATTGTATTGAAGATTATCTAAAAGGGGAAACTGGTCCTAGATCGGCACTCCTACTCTGAGTCCCTTTATGAATACGGACCCTGGTTTCCTTTGTGCCTACATTCTCAAATGTAGAATGAGATTGCACCCAGATGGGCCTCAGCCCAGCTTGCGTAATAAAAAATCAAATAAATCCATCAGTACCTTTTTGTTGTTGATGTAGACCTATTAAACAGACCTATCTTCCTTGTTACACTTCATACAGTTTTGATGCCATGTGTACTGGCAATGGAGAGGTGTTCTTCTGTTTGTTTCTTGGGGCATGCCTTCTACGCTTAATTTAAATGGACCCCCCTGTAATTTTCACAGAAACTACTTTGTCACACATTTTTCCCCCCAACACTTTCCCTTGCTGACACTACTATTGCTAAACTTTTTTAGATACTTTAGGATGATTTGGACATGTTGTGGTGTGAGAATGTAAATGGGGACCTTGCATCAACCTCATCATAGTGTGGATATATATATATATATATATATATATATATAGTGACGTGCAATGCCATTTTGTTTCAATATTTGATTTATTTAATTAAAATAAATCACCTAGACTTTAGCTTTTAAGAGTTTATTACAAAAAAATGTCAAAATAAAATAGATTTTAACACATCTTCGTGGGCCTAGTTACCCCATTGGGGGTTGGCAGTTACTCCGGGGCTTGGGAAAAATGCCCCTTTTTTGAAAACAACGTTTCATTAAATAACTAAAGTGTAAACTGTAGCCATTTATTTCCCTTCATAGTTTGTTTGCCTAAGCATGACCATCATCCACATTTCTCTTTTTACCAAACTTTGCTTTTGTGTCAGCAATTGGACATTGTTTTTAGGGGGGCTAGTTACCCCATGCACCTTACACTCCTGCTTATAGATGTGTCCAATAATAAATGCTTATTTTTGTTTAACGTTCCAAAGTGTGTCCTAATGAACACGATCCAGCTTTCCCTTTGTTGTGGCCAGTCACTGTTGCACAATGTCCAAGAGCTGAGATGGGTTCATATTCTCAACTATCTTGAGGATGGTAGTGGCCAAGAGTTGTTATTTTGAACTCTAGATGAACCCATCTCCATCTTGTGCTACATTGGGCTTTTTTCCTGAGCTAACAGGATAGTAGTACTCCATTTGAACTGAAATTTACAGAGCCTGTGCTTTTAAAGATTCTTCCGTTCAAATAGATTATTTTTCCCAAAACGGATGCACAGCGCTTGTGGCCTATCACTGAACTTGGCTCTTGCATATCGACAATTTGCATACGGTCTTTGCATGTTCAGAACACTATGCATATGGGGAAATGGCTTTTCCTATCTCGTACTACTGCTGGTCAGGTCAGTCTGCCCCAGGACAGGCAGTCAGAAACCCCATTGGGAGCATCCAAATAACATCCCAATTATCTCCTCTTCCTCCAAAAGTGTGCACTTGTTCACTTCCCTTTACTGATTTGAAAAGAAATGACTGGTATAAGAAATTTGGTGGATAGTAAACTATTACTAGCCCATGCCTCCACCAAGCCCGTGCTGAAGATGTCTACATCGGTCCGCTAATACAGGACTAGTAAAGGCCCAGTGCACTACTTTTGTCAAAACATTTAAACTAAATGTATACTGAAGAAAATATAAACACATGCAACAATTTTTAAGATTTTACTGAGTTACGGTTCTTATAATAAGTCATATAATAATTCATTATGCCCTAATCTATGGATTTCACGACTGGGCAAGAGCGCAGCCATGGGTCGGGTTGGACCCACTAGGGAGCCAGGCCCAGCCAATCAGAATGAGTTTACTCCACAAAAGGGCTTTGTTGTAGACAGAAATACTCCTCAGCAACCCATCAGACGATCCCGCAGGTAAAGAAGTCTGATTTGGAGGTCCTTGGCTGGCATTGTTACACGTGGTCTGCGGTTGTGAGGCCGGTTGGACGTACTGCCAAATTCTCTAAAACGACATTGAAGGCGGCTTATGGTAGAGAAATGAATATTCAATTCCTGCAGTCAGCATGCCAATTCCACACTCCCTCAGCTTGAGACATCTGGTATTGTGGTGTGACAAAACTGCACATTTGAGTGGCATTTTGTCCCCAGCATAAGGTGCACCTGTGTAATGATCATGCTGTTTAATCAGTTGCTTGATATGCCACACCTGTCAGTTGGATGGATTATCGGGCAAAGGAGAAATGCTCACGAACAGGGATGTAAACAAATTTGTGCACAATTTAAGAGAAATGATTTTTTGTGCGTATGGAACATTTCAGGGATCTTTTATTTAAGCTCATGAAACATGGGACCAACACTTTACATGTTGTGTTTATATTTTTGTTACGTATATTTGTATTTGAGTGTTTAACCAGCATTTGTAACTTGAGTCTGATAATTATGTGTACAAAATAGTTAATCTGATAATACTTGTGGAGTATAAAAATACTTGCTTGATGTTTTCCAATTTCCTGAAATACTTTGCAAATGCAACTTATTTCTGTGTAAGCTGAAATGGTCTATTCTTTTTTACATTTTAGTATATGCTCTTATTCAGAGCAACTTACAGTAGTGAGTGCATACTTTTTCATACTTGTCCCCCGTGGGAATCGAACCCACAACCCTAGCGTTGCAAGCGCCATGCTCTACCAACTGAGCCACATATCACAAACCACTTGATGTCTCAATGTACTTAATTACTGTATTGTGCATTGTTTTTCTTCATGGTGATGGAATGTCTACAGGTACCAAACCTAGATGACTAGCCTATGGAAAATACAATAATTTACATTTAAGTGATTTGTAAGGATGGTAAATTAATACTGCACAGAAAGTGGTTGTTTTCCATGTTATTTGATCAAGAAAAATATTTATATTTATATAAATATTTATTGCGGATAACCATGGAGGCACAGAGCGGAGCTATCTCTGCCATTTCTTTCACCGGACGGACCTCGTCTTAGTTATGCTAGCTACTTATTTCTGATCAAAACCTGATTAGACATGTAATTATGTTATCTGACATTTTTTCCCCCCTCCAAAACAGTTATTTTAGCAAAATTACCATTACTTAGCATATTATTTCAAATGAAAGTAAGCCTGTACATTTAGATTTTCTTTATATAATGTGGCGCTTTTTCCAAAGTACAATCCACATTAGTACTAAAGCTAATTTACCATAATTTGATTATAGTATAATCTAGTTTTCAGAATTTAAGTAAATAGAATTGTTTTCATATTTATATGGCAGAAACGACTGCCATTTAAAGGGGAAGTACACACACATTTTAAATATATATATATATATATATATCTCCTATAGGTTTTTGGCTGGTGTCAAAATGACCCCAAAGGACTTAACAAGTCCATATTGATACAGAAACACTAAACAATTATTTAAATTAGTTAAGAACAAGTTCATTTGACAAAGTCATGAACATTTTAAAGAATAGAATTAACCACCTTTGGGCTATAATCTAAAAGATGTCCCCAGTCGGTAGCTTGAGGGATAAACTAGTCGACTGTTATGTCTATGGTGATATTGGGAGATGGGATCCCTGTGAATCGATGTTGGTTCTTTTTGTGTTCATCTTAGGCTAGTACATGTATACATGGACAGTGAGGTCAGTGCTCTCTCTTTGTTTGCGTGGGCCAAGGCTTTCTCTCTCTCTCCGCTCTCTCTGTGTGTTTTGCATACAGTAGGCCTAGGATTTCTGTCTTTCGTTCTCCCTGTATCTTTCTCCCTCCATGGCCAGTAGTCCCAGGGCTGTCTTTGTCTCTGTGGGGGGAGGTGGCTGGGCTACTAGCAGGCAGGGAAGCAGCGATGCATCGCGGCTCGTAAAGCGCAGGGCCCTCCCTCCCTGGCGTGTTCACGCCTGGTCTGATTGATGCTCCCTCGGGGCCCCCGTCTCCATGGTGTCAGCCGCTGATTGATGGCTGTCAGGGAGCTGAGGGACCGACTAGAAAAGGGGAGTGGTCACCGTGGCATATGCCTGGCAACCAAGGGAAGAGCAGAGAGAATATGGGAAAGGGGAGGGTGGATGGGGAGTGGTAGAGGAGCGCTTGAGATGCCTCTTCTCCTCTGGGTCCTACTGCTAGACCTTTTCACCACCAGGGACTAGGAAGAGAAGGCTATGAAAACAAAGCCATTTTCATGGCGTTGGTGGATGGTTGAACATCGACTGACTTAGGCCCAGGCTTCTTTTTTATAGCTTAGTTCAGGTGGATGAAGTGAGATGGTAAAGCAGTCCAGGGGCCATATGTATCCCTATTCATTGTGATGTAAAAGACAGCTGGTCCTAAATCGGCACTCCAACTCCGAGACGCTTGATACATACGGCCCCAGGTCAGGTCATGGACAGTGTTAGTTTTGTGTGGTCTCTCTCTGGCCCAGCCCCTTTTCTCCAAGCTGTGCTGCATCCCGCTTGTTGCTTTCTGTCTCTACTCTCTACCTTCTCAGGGCTACCTTAGTCAACCACTTTCCTATTTTTCTTTCTCCTCTCTGTCTGTTTTTGTACAGAAAGCACAACAGCTGCTGTGACCTCACACACACACACACACACACACACACACACACACACACACACACACACACACACACACACACACACACACACACACACAACCAGGGGGGTGGGTCTGTCAAAAAGAAGCCCTGTCTAGGAAAGGTTTAGAGATGGGCCCCTGCCCCACCCCACTCAGCTGCCCTCCTCCTCAGCCCCTCAGGCAGCAGAGTCTGTGACATCTGCCCCCTCCTGTACCAAAGCATCAGTGAGCCTTGGCCCTCCTCTCCCGCAGCAGAACAGAGGCTCCATCCCAAATGGCACCCTATTTCCTTTATAGTGCATTACTTTTCACCAGGGCCCTTAGGGAATATGCTGCCATTTGGGGGGGACACAGAGCCACAGTTGAATATGCACAGCAGTGGGCTCTAGTACCAGAAAATAAGGATCAGATGGAACATGCCTGGAGACTTGCCATGCACTCTGGTACATTTCAGACCTAACAGTTAATGTGTTAAGGTACAAGAGCAATGTAGACTTGTTTTAGAACATAAATATGACTGTTACCATTTTGTAGTTACAGCTCTTTCTTAGGTGTAACACAATAACATCCCCAGATAGTCCAGGAAATGTGAACTCTCTAATATCCCTCCACAGCTACCAGCTACCTGACCTCAACTTCATGCATAGCAGTGCTTGATCACACTATTCTATGACAACCATACTAGTCTCCCAGAGAGACATTTTATCTATAAGCCTCTGTAGGCTCAAGGCAAGGTTGTATTCATTAGGGCACGCTGTTGCAAAACATTTTGCAACCAAACCCAGCATTACCTATTGGACAAATTCAGGTTAGTCTCTCCACTCCCTGTTTCAGTCCATTTTCTTCTGTTTGGTTCCCAGTGAACAGCCTATGACCCAGAGGGGTATACTACAAAGCAGGGTCACCATGTTAGCCAGCTAACTTAGATAAACAAAAATAGTTTCTGGGTCATTAATTAATCTAAATTTGAATATGGGTTGTTGTTTGAAACAACTGAATCAATCCATGTCCATTTTTAGCATAATCTTCTTAGAAATGTGACATTAATTCTGAACATTCAAGCAAGTTGGCTGGCTAACTCATTGATCCTGCTTTGTGACATACCCCCCAGGTGTCCTAGAGTTGAAGGATGCCCCTTGAACGTAGCTAACTGTTGTGTCAGTGTGTTCCAGTAACAGCTGAGCTGGGTGATGCCTGATCCTGGATGGCTCCTTCTGGCCTCACTTCTCCCTCTACTGTGGTATTTCACAGTGGACCTGCAGGACCTGGCTCAGATATAATTAGGAAGGGGTGCAGTCAGTTGATATACCAGGGGCTGCGAGTGTGTTGGTATATCCACTAGTGTTGTCTGGAGGTTGAGCACTTTAGAGAGTGCAGGGAGGTGTGTGTGAGGGAGATGGTAAGGTGTGTGTGCCTGGATGTGACTTCATTTTCTCAAGATGTGTGTGTTTTTGGTGGTGTTCCTTTATATCCTGTTCCCCTACTTATGACAACTCCATGGTCTCACAAGCCTCATCTGTCATAACTAGCCTTTGATACCAGATGCCAATACCAGTGTGCAATGTAGGCATTATCCTCTGCTGAAATGCTCCTACAAAAACAACAACAACAACAACAACAAAAAAGTCAATTTACGAGCGTGCGACCAAAGCAAATGCCACATTAGTGAATTATGGCTGTGGTCGGTACAGGAAATGGCCTAGCAGTGAGTCCCTGCTGTGTATGAGCACTTTGGAGTGAATCCCACAGATTCTTATCAAATCTACTGGATACTTGCTGGATCAGCACATTTGGCTGTGCAATTAGATTCCACCCCGGTCAAACTTGAGAGACTTGTTCTGTCTGTGGTGTGTGTGTGATACTTAGGGCCAGTTTCATGGACACAGATTAAGGCTAGTCTTGGACTAAGAAATCATGTTCAATGGAGTAATGTTTATCATTCTGTCTATGCAAATTATTTAAAGGTTTGACTCCTGGCATTTTGGATAATATCACACGTTGACCGGGTTTATAAACTTTAAAGCGCTCATAGAGCCAACCAGTCAGAATGATGAACTTGAACGATAAATATACCAGACTATGGTTGCAAAGCTAGCGGTAATTTACCAAAGTAACCGGCAATCTATGGTAATTTAGGTAACTTATACTTTAATAGCTTTTAAAAAATGTGAAAAATAAAGAGAATATTATTTTATTTGTGTGTCCATGAGTTTCTAGTGGAGAAACCATATGGGTCAAGAGAAAATGAGCCTAATTAATGAAAAAAGCATCTGATAAACAATGTCATTATTTTCAATTAACTCTGCAACTCTTCCAACTATTGACTTTTTCACAACTGCCACCAGTTTGGCGCCAAAACATTTACAACAAAGACATTGACATAGTAAAATAAAGTGTGTAAATTTTTTTTATTATGGATATGTCATGCTGAAACCCTCGTATTAAACACCAATGGTATTCACTAAGTTCATGGTTTAAATTTAGGATGTTTTACAGCTTTGTCATTCTATTTGTTATTTTCAAATAATATTTTTTGATTATTTTACATATTTAATATGTGATAAGGGTGAGCGATAATTAGACACCTGTGATAATCTGAAGTACCCAAAAATGACACTAGATTTCATCTGATAAATTCTCCCCAAAACATGAAAGTTACCAAAATTCTGGTAGTTTACTGGTAAACCTCAAGTTTCCACAAATATGCCCTACCTTTGCAACCCTATACCAGACAAAATATCCTTATTTCAGTTCTAACCCCACTAACTCTGTATTTTGTCTGTGTTATCTTTACAGAGTGCTGCTGCAGCCCCCAGTCCAGTGATGGGGGGGATGCCCCCTGGAGAGGGGATGCCCGGTGGACCCATGCCCCCCGGATTCTTCCAGGTCAGTCTCCTCCTACTCTCTCACACACACCTCCATCTACACTCCATGGCAGTGGTTCTAGGGCTGGGTGATGTATATAATTAATTTGAATGTATGTTTTTGCACATTATTCTAAATGTCTATCTCAATAATTACTTAACATTTTTTTTATGAGAGTTTATGTCCAATTGTTCTCGTTGTCTTTTTGGTCTCGTCTCCTTCACTTCTTCTGTGCTGTGTGCACTGACTGTAGGCTGTGTGCACCTTCCCATTTACACACACACACACACACACACCAAGCCTCTACCCCTGCCATTCACAACAACAAAGATGAGAGATCACTTCGTCCTCTCTGAGAAATGGTTTCAACCGGCTATTTGCAGTTGCGGTTTGGTCGATCATATGGACACCGAAACACAGTGAGACATTATTTTACTATAATAGAGGAGAAGTTAACCTTTAACAATACCCATTTTATGTCTCAACTCCTCAAATTGCGTGCAGAGCAGACTACTAAAACGGACTATCGATGAACATTGATTCTGGAAAATTCATGCTCAGTTTGTAGTTCCACATACTGCTAGCAGCATTTTAAACAGACTGCTATACCAGATGTCTAGTCTGTGTTTTATAAATGTGCAATTAAGCAAAAAACGCAATAACAGTGATTCCGGGAAGTATTCAGACCACTTCCTTTTTTCCACATTTTCTTACGTTATGGACTTATTCTAAAATTGATTAAATACATAAAAAATCCTCATCAATATACACACAATACTCCATAATGACAGTGAAAACATGTTTTTAGATTTTTTTTGCAAATGTATAAAAAAATGTACCTTATTTACATAAGTATTCAGACCCTTTGCTATGAGACTCGAAATTGAGCTCAGGTGCATCCTGTTTCCATTGATTATCCTTGATATTTCTACAACTTGATTGAAGTCCACCTGTGGTAAATTCAATTGATTGGACATGATTTGGAAAGGAACACATGTCTATATAAGGTCCCACAGTTGACAGTGCATGTCAGAGCAAAAACCAAGCCATGAGGTCAAAGGAATTGTCCGTAGAGCTCTGAGACAGGATTGGTTCGAGGCACAGATCTGGGGAAGGGTACCAAAACATTTCTGCAGCATTGAAGGTCCCCAAGAACACAGTGGCCTCCATAATTCTTAAATGGAAGAAGTTTGGAACCACCGAGACTCTTCTTAGAGCTGGCCGCCCGGCCAAACTGAGCAATCGGGGGAGAAGGGCCTTGGTCAGGATCAAGAACCTGATGGTCACTCTGACAGAGCTCCAGAGTTCCTCTGTGGCGAAGGGAGAACCTTCCAGAAGGACAACAATCTCAGCAGCACTCCACCAATCAGACCTTTATGGTAGAGTGCTTGGGTGGAAGCCACTCTTCAGTAAAAGACACATGACAGCCCGCTTGGAGTTTGCCAAAAGGCACCTAAAGGACTCTCAGACCATGAGAAACAAGATTCTCTGGTCTGATGAAACCAAGATTGAACTCTTTGGCCTGAATGCCAAGCGTCACGTCTAGAGGAAACCTGCCACCATCCCTACAGTGAAGCATTGTGGGGATGTATTTGAGCGGCAGGGACTGGGAGACTAGTCAGGATCGAGGGAAAGATGAACGGAGCAAAGTACAGAGAGATCCTTGATGAAAACCTGCTCAGGACCTCGGACTGGGGCGACGGTTCACCTTCCAACAGGACCACGACCCGAAGCCAGAAGTGGCTTCGGGACAAGTCTCTGAATGTCCTTGAGTGGCCCAGCCAGAGCCCGGACTTGAACCTGCTCTAACATCTCTGGAGAGATCTGAAAATGGCTGTGCAGCGACGCTCCCCATCCAACCTGACAGAGCTTGAGAGTATCTGCATAGAAGAATGGGAGAAACTCTCAAAATACAGGTGTGCCAAGCTTGCAGCGTCATACCCAACAAACACTCAAGGCTGTAATCACTGCCAAAGGTGCTTCAACAGAGTAAAGGGTCTGAGTACTTATGTAAATGTAATATTTCGGTTTTGTATTTTTACTAAATTTGCTAACATTTCTAAAAACCTGTTTTTGCTTTGTCACTATGGGGTATTGTGTGTAGATTGATGAGGGGAAAACTATTTAACCAATTTTAGAATAAGACTTTAATGTAACAATGTGGAAAAAGTCAAGGGCTCTGAATACTTCCGAATGCACTGTATGTAATTAATTGACAACTTGTTCTCATTCTGAGAAATAAGGTAGGCCACTTGATTTCGATATTATAACTAAGTGGACAGGCTAGCATGCTGTTCAAATAGTTGGAGACTGACAGGGCAGTGGTGGAAAAAGTACCCAATTGTCATACTTGAGTAAAAGTAAAGATGCCTTCATAGAAAATGAGTCACGTAAAAGTTAGTCACCTGGTAAAGTACTACTTGAGTAAAAGTCTAAAATTATCTGGTTTTAAATATACTTAAGTATATTTTTGCAATTTCATTTACTGAAGTATCAAAAGTAAAAGTATAAATAATTTCTAATTGCTTATATTAAGCAAACCAAACGGCACAATTTTTAATTCTCTTTACGGATAGCCAGGGGCACACTCCAACACTCAGACATAATTTACAAACGAAGCATTTGTGTTTAGTGAGTCCGCCAGATCAGAGGCAGTAGGGAAGACCAGGGATGTTATCTTGATAAGTGCGTGAATGGAAAACATTTTATTTCCTGCAAAACATTCCAAATGTAGCCAGTACTTTTGGGTGTCTGGATAAATGTATGAAGTAAAAAGTACATTATTTTCTTTAGGAATGTAGTGAAGTAAAAGTTGTCAAATATAAATAGTAAAGTACAGATACCCCCCAAAAAACTACTTAAGTAGTATTTTCACTTAAGTACTTTACACCACTGCAGAAGGGTGTGTTTAAGAATTTAACTGTTCTACTTTGTTAGCTAGCAAATTGATCCAAGTTGGCTAAATTTTTAAATATAAAGATTAGCTGGCTGAAACAGAAAAAGGCCGTACCCAAACTGGTGCCACAAAGTTGGAAGCACAGAATAATCTAGAATGTCATTGTATGCTGTAGCTTTAAAATGTCCCTTCACTGGAACTAAGGGGCCTAGCCTGAAACATGAAAAACAGCCCCAGACCATTATACCTCCTCCACCAAACTTTACAGTTGGCACTATGCATTGGGGCAGGTGGCGTTTTCCTGGCATCCGCCAAACCCAGATTAATCCGTCGGACTGCCAGATAGTGAAGCGTGATTCATCACTCCAGAGAATGTGTTTCCACTGCTCCAGAGTCCAATGGCGGCAAGCTTTACACCACTCCAGCCAATGCTTGGCATTGCGCATGGTGATCTTAGGCTTGTGTGCGGCTGCCCGGCCATGGAAACCCATTTCATGAAGCTCCCGACGAACAGTTCTTGTGCTGACGTTGCTTCCAGAGGCAGTTTGGAACGCAATAGTGAGTGTTGCAGCCGAGGACAGATGATTTTTACGTGCTTCAGCACTCGGCAATCCCATTCTCTGAGCTTGTGTGGCCTACCACTTTGCGGCTGAGCCGTTGTTGCTCCTAGACGTTTCCACTTCACAATAACAGCACTTACAGTTGACCGGGGCAGCTCTATTGGGGCAGACATTTTATGAACTGACTTGTTGGAAAGGTGGCATCCTATGACTGTGCCTTGTTGGAAGTCACTGAGTTCTTCAGTAAGGCAATTCTACTGCCAATGTTGGTCTATGGGGATAGCATGGCTGTGTGCTCGATTTTTATACACCTGTCAGCAAAGGGTGTGGCTGAAATAGCTGAATCCACTAATTTGAAGGGGTGTCCACATACTTTTGTGTATATATCGTGAATCGCCCATCAATATTTTTAAATAGATGATTCTTAGGCCATATCGCCCAGCCCTAAGTTGTTCCCAACCCTTTCCTTTCCGAGGACCAACAGATCTCTTTATCATGTTATGGGGGGAATGTGTGGACCACCTAAAGTACCCTCGTGGACCACAAGTCGTCTCACAAGTTGTAGACCAGTGCTCTGGGCTGAATCATAACTAACTTGAGATCCGCCAACAAGAAAAACTGACTTCAATTTCTTCTCAACCCCATTGACGTCAATATAGGTTTGAGTTACTGTATATGTGTGATTCTCAAGTAAAGAGTTTAGCCTGTATGTGCATGCATGGACCACACTATTGCGCAACTGCTCCTCTCGCTGTCATCTGCTCTGTCTCTCACCTGTTCTACCGCCCTGCTGATGTGCATTCCACATTCATACCTGTCCACTAAGCTGGGCTTATCAGGATGTGTTAAAGCTCTGCATGTGTCAATGACGCGCTGCCTCTGCTCTGCTGTGCTCAGTAGGCTGTGTCTCGTCTCTGCTCTGAGCCTGTCTTCATCACAAATGACACCCTATTCCCTACAAAGTGCACTACTTTTGAATGAGCCCTATGGGCCCTGGTAAAAAGTAGTGCACTTACTAAATAGGGTGCCATGTGGGACGCATCCTGTGTTTGTAGTGTTGTTGTCTGACTACCCACTCCAGTGTACTGTAGTGAAACATGGAGGCGCGGTTGGGCCTAACCATTAATGGAGAAATGTAAAGGTGCTGCACCACCTGCCGTAAATCAATCTCTCATGAGAATAAACTCTTGGCAGGATTTGACTTCAACAGTCATGAAGTATTATCCTGTAGTGAAAGTCAAAGCATTCACTTCCGTTTCTTTAAAGGCCCAGTGCTGTCAAAAATGTGATTTTCTATATATTTCCACACTGAGGTTGAAGTAATACTGTGAACATTATGATAATGCCCTTTCAGTGTAAGAGCTGTCTGAAAATACTGCCTGAATTTTCTGCCTGTTTTGGTGGGATGGCATTTTGGCCTGCCTGGTGACATCACCAGGCGGTAAATTAGTTAATAGACCAATAAGAAAGAGTTCCAAACCTCTCTGCCAATAACAGGTAGTTTTCAGTTTTCCACTCCGACCACTCGCTAGACAGCCCTAGCAAAATTATTGTCTGATAATTTGTTCTTTGCTAAGAAGCTTTTTTTTTTTAAATGAAAATTGTGTAAAATAATTAGTAAGGTACTTAATTGTTACAGAGAATTGATATAATATTGAGATGAAAACAGCTGCATTGGACCATTAAGTACAGTGGGGGAAAAAAGTATTTAGCCAGCCACCAATTGTGCAAGTTCTCCCACTTAAAAAGATGAGAGAGGCCTGTAATTTTCATCATAGGTACACGTCAACTATGACAGACAAATTGAGAAAAATATTCCAGAAAATCACATTGTAGGATTTTTAATGAATTTATTTGCAAATTATGGTGGAAAATAAGTATTTGGTCACCTACAAACAAGCAAGATTTCTGGCTCTCACAGACCTGTAACTTCTTCTTTAAGAGGCTCCTCTGTCCTCCACTCGTTACCTGTATTAATGACACCTGGTTGAACTTGTTATCAGTATAAAAGACACCTGTCCACAACCTCAAACAGTCACACTCCAAACTCCACTATGGCCAAGACCAAAGAGCTGTCAAAGGACACTAGGAACAAAATTGTAGACCTGCACCAGGCTGGGAAGACTGAATATGCAATAGGTAAGCAGCTTGGTTTGAAGAAATCAACTGTGGGAGCAATTATTAGGAAATGGAAGACATACAAGACCACTGATAATCTCCCTCGATCTGGGGCTCCACGCAAGATCTCACCCCGTGGGGTCAAAATTATCACAAGAACGGTGAGCAAAAATCCCAGAACCACACGGGGGGACCTAGTGAATGACCTGCAGAGAGCTGGGACCGAAGTAACAAAGCCTACCATCAGTAACACACTACGCCACCAGGGACTCAAATACTGCAGTGCCAGACGTGTCCCTCTGCTTAAGCCAGTACATGTCCAGGCCCGTCTGAAGTTTGCTAGAGTGCATTTGGATGATCCAGAAGAGGATTGGGAGAATGTCATATGGTCAGATGAAACCAAAATATAACTTTTTGGTAGAAACTCAACTTGTCGTGTTTGGAGGACAAAGAATGCTGAGTTGCATCCAAAGAACACCATACCTACTGTGAAGCATGGGTGTGGAAACATCATGCTTTGGGGCTGTTTTTCTGTAAAGGGACCAGGACGACTGATCCGTGTAAAGGAAAGAATGAATGGGGCCATGTATCGTGAGATTTTGAGTGAAAACCTCCTTCCATCAGCAAGGGCATTGAAGATGAAACGTGGCTGGGTCTTTCAGCATGACAATGATCCCAAACACACGCCCGGGCAACGAAGGACTGGCTTCGTAAGAAGCATTTCAAGGTCCTGGAGTGGCCTCGCCAGTCTCCAGATCTCAACCCCATAGAAAATCTTTGGAGGGAGTTGAAAGTCTGTGTTGCCCAGCGACAGCCCCAAAACATCACTGCTCTAGAGGAGATCTGCATGGAGGAATGGGCCAAAATACCAGCAACAGTGTGTGAAAACCTTGTGAAGACTTACAGAAAACGTTTGACCTGTGTCATTGCCAACAAAGGGTATATAACAAAGTATTGAGAAACTTTTGTTATTGACCAAATACTTATTTTCCACCATAATTTGCAAATACATTCATAAAAAATCATACAATGTGATTTTCTGGATTTTTTTTTCTCATTTTGTCTTTCATAGTTGACGTGTACCTATGATGAAAATTGCAGGACTCTCTCATCTTTTTAAGTGGGATAACTTGCACAATTGGTGACTGACTAAATACTTTTTTTCCCCACTGTATATACTGCTAGGTATGTTGTGTATAGTATATGATTAGTCAAAGCAGTTGAAAAGCAGAGAAGCAATTCTATGTAGCCCAACTTGCTGTATGCATGGTGTGGTTGAGAGCCAAAGACACACACCAGCGTTTCCCCTATATACTGCTAAATCATTGCCGCCACTCACAAAAGATATGATAAATATATACAGTGCATGTTTTTAGATACAGTGGGGGAAAAAAAGTATTTAGTCAGCCACCAATTGTGCAAGTTCTCCCACTTAAAAAGATGAGAGGCCTGTAATTTTCATCATAGGTACACGTCAACTATGACAGACAAAATGAGGAAAAAAAAATCAAGAAAATCATATTGTAGGATTGCAAATTATGGTGGAAAATAAGTATTTGGTCAATAACAAAAGTTTCTCAATACTTTGTTATATAATTTGCAAATAAATTCATTAAAAATCCTACAATGTGATTTTCTGGATTTTTTTCTCTCTATTTGTCTGTCATAGTTGACGTGTACCTATGATGAAAATTACAGGCCTCTCTCATCTTTTTAAGTGGGAGAACTTGCACAATTGGTGGCTGACTAAATACTTTTTTTCCCCACTGTATGTTTGCTAATTTATTGAAAATGAAATGCAGAAATATCTCATTTACATCAGTAATCACAACCCTTAGTCAATACTTTGTAGAAGCACCATTGGCAGCAATTACAGCTGTGAGTCTTTCTGGGTAAGTCTCTAAGAGCTTTCCACACCTGGATTGTGCAAGATTTGCCCGTTAATTATTTTCAAAATTCTTCAAGCTCTGTCAAATTGATTGTTGACCATTGCTAGTAGGACTTTCCCCAACAAAAAAAATATAATCTTGGTCGACCGAGAGTCGCAATTGCTAACTAGCATTAACACAATGACTGGCAGTCTATGGGCACAGCTAGCATGCTAATGCTAGTTAGCTATTGCGCTAATGCTAGTTAGCAACTTCCTTCAAACGGCATGCAGACATAAAATTGGTATCCATGAGTTCAACTGGCTCGGGGTAAGTAGAAATGCGGCTTAATTGCCAAAAACTCACTATCCCTTTAAGATAAGTGACAAGTTATACCTTATTGTTTGTAGCGAGCAGTGGCACGAATGAGAGCCACAAGCGCACAGCCACCGCTTGCTCCTCATCTCCCTACAGTGCAGTGGTGCGCATCAGTTATATTCAGATGGTGTCAACATGTTCATGCATTTAGGAGTAGCATGTATTTTTAAAGTCACCAGAAGTGACCTCAGTCGTTGTATAAAACAAATCCCAAGGGGCATGCGCAGCAAAGAAACCCCGCCCCTCCGCTACCTTTGCCACTGCTGCTGAAAGACGTCCTAGGGGAAACGCTGCACGCACACACACGGACAGCTCTCTCTTCATCATTTGAATATGCGAGTGGTGTTAATTAGGCAACCCTGTCATCAGCAGCATTAGCTCCACAGTGACAGTGTTTGGGGGCAGCTGCTGTAAAGCAGGGCTTAATTGATTCTGTGGTAATTGGCAGAAAGGGTAAATTGCCAGTGATCACAAGCTGGATGCTGGCTGCGGTTCTGACTGGCAGACATCCGAGCACATCCTCTCTCTCTCTCTCTCTCTCTACCCCCCCCCCCCTTCTCTCTTCTTGCACCCCTCTCTTGTTTCACACTCTCTTTCTGCTGTGCCTGGAAGGAGAGAATGATCAACGGATACACCCAACCCTCTTTCCTAAGCACAGCTTTTTGCATTTGCACACCACCCTCTTGCACTCTCCTCCGCTCAGTAAACCTCCTTTCTCTGCCTCCCTCCCTCCCACCGTCTGTCTGTCACTTTCTCTCTGTGATGCCACAGGGTCCACCTGGTCCCCAGGGCTCTCCTCACCCCCAGCCTCCTCCCCCTAACAGTATGATGGGACCCCACAGCCAGGTACCGCTGCTCTCTCTGGGGTGTGTCCCAAATGATATCCTATTTCCTAAATAGTGCAATACTTTTGACCTGGGCCCTGGTCAAAAGTAGTGCACTATCTAGGAAATAGGGTGTCATTTGGGACGAGGCCGCTCTCTGTTGGCGCTCTGTTTCTTTATATGCTTTCATATTGGGAAGACTATGGTCATTTCACCCCACCCATGCCTCCTTGATGCTATGTCTGTCTGTACGCTCTATGTCCTTCGGCTTGATGCTTTTGGCAGCAGCGCAGAATCACACTTGTTTTAAAATATGTTATCGGAAACTATATCATTAAGCCTCATTTATACCCTACGCAAGAATGCAATTAGCTCTGCAAAATGGCCGTTCTGCATACTCATAGCATATTTGTAACACCATACAACTACGCAGGATCGCAATTTTGTGTAGCTAGTTGTGTTGCGTATTTGCATAAGGTATAAACTAGGCTATTATAGATGTTCTATTGAAAGTAAAACGTATGCCTCCGAAAATAAGTGAGGAAAAATGCATGGTTGTTCAGTGTAATTATTGTAAAGGAAACACTAATAAATGTAAGTGAATTGTTGCGTTTAGTCTTTCATGAACCCACGCTTCGCTGGAGGCCCGCGAGGTCCCCCTATCAGGATGGGCAATCAGGTAAACAAACTACTGTACCCATAATTCTGCACCACCAATACAGTACTACCATCAGTTTAAGAAAGTTTCTGTTTGATAACATGTCTTGTCATCATATTCAAAGTTCATTTGACGTTTGTTCACCCCTCCGTCTTCTTCCTTGTAGCCTCCTGGCGGTGGCCCTGGCCCTCATCCCATGCTCCAAAACATGGACCACACACGACCACAAGGCCACCCTAACTTGGGACCGATGCAGAGAATGAGTGGCCCTCGAGGCATGGGCCCTATGGGGCCAGGACCCCAGGTAGGCCACACTACTGATATATATTTTTCAGCAGTTTGCTTCTAGTCTTTCACAGACTAGCCCACTAGTTTTTGAGACTCTGCCTGTCCAACATCACCCTTCCAGTCTGTCTCCTTGGATTCCAAGTTGTTGATTACTCTTTAGAGACCCTCCCCACTAACCATCTCTTTCTAACCCCCACCCCCCTCTCCTCTGGTTCTGTCTGGTTATGGTAATCTGACCCTTGGTTGTCATTGCAGAACTTTGGTGGTGGGATGCGGCCACCACACAACTCCATGGGCCCTGGGATGCCAGGAGTGAACATGTGAGCCTTCTCTCTATCTTATACATGATAGATCACCAGTGTGTGTGTGTGTGTGTTGATATCTAACAGGGGTTTCTTTCACTGTATTGCAGGGGCCCAGGTGCTGGACGACCATGGCCCAATCCGAACAATGGCAACTCTGTGAGTCCAGTTTCCACTGTAGACACACACACTACACACCATGATGTTATCGGCTCAGATTGCAGCAGTCTGTGTCTGTCCTCTCTCAGTAAGAGCTCTGGAGGCCCAATGCATTACGAAGTTCCCCAGTTCTGGATGTAATTGTAGTATTATGTATCCCAGGCTACATCCTAAATTATACCATATTCCCTTTCTAGCGCACTACTTTTGACCAGGGCCCTTTTGACTCTGTTCAAAAGTAGTGCACTATATAGAGAATAGGGTGCCACTTGGGACACAACCCCATAGATACCGATGATGATGATGATAGGACGATGCTAAAACGATGAATGATGTTTTGAGAGGTGAATACATAGATGAGATTCCCTGTTCCTGGGCAGTAATGTTTCTGTTGTGATTTATTCAGATGCCTTACTCCTCACCTTCTCCTGGAGCGTACGGGGTAAGGACACTCTGATTTCTCTCACTCACACACTCAAACTGGCCATTACAGCAGTGTTTATATTTCACCCATTTGAAGCCACTATTGTAATATTGTCTTTCAATACTCTTAATTGATTGTATTGGTGTAGGTAGAATCTGTCCTGATACAGATACATTGCTGGTATTGTGATTTTACTGTTGAATTTGAGTAGTTGTGTTCTCCTGCCACTCTAAAGGGGGGGTCTGGAGGAGGGGGACCCCCTGGAACACCCATTATGCCCAGCCCTGCTGGTAAGTACCTTAAGTCCTCACAGAGGAACAGGAATGCATGTCAAAATGTTTTGGCAAATAACCGTAGTCTTCAATGACTGTTTGCCATCTTGGCTGTTCTCATTACCTAAGGTACACTAGTCTATTGATTATCATCATAATAATCTAGATTGATTGTGTATGAACCACTTCAGACTCTAACAACTCTGGCGACAACCTCTACACTATGATCAACACTGGACCTGGCAACCGATCAAATGTGAGTCTCCTTCTCGTACCAGCCCTCTCCTCACATCTGTCGTTGTAGTCATGTTTCTTCATCGCCAGATGTTTCTTCTAATCATATCTTACAAGATTTCTAGTCCTCAATAATGAAACGGACTGCATCCCAAATAGCACCCTATACCCTACATAGTGCACTACTTTTGACCAGAGCCTTAGGGGGCTCTGGTAAAAAGTGGTGCATTATGTAGGGAATATGGTGCCATTTGGGATGCACCCTGTTTCTCCCTGGCCCAGTCTCGTTTGATAGTGGTGCCTGTCCTGTTGACATGTTTACTAAGGCAGTGCTTGTGTCTCCTATGTTGCAGTTCCCTATGGGCCCTGGCTCTGATGGACCTCTGGGCGCCATGGCAGGCATGGAACCACACCACATGAATGGATCGCTAAGTAACACTCTACTCTGCCACTGTTACAACACAACATGGAGACTCCTCTCTGGAGCTTCAAATCAAAATTTGGGGTTGCGTTCAGTGAATAACAGTATTGATTAGTGTATGACTGGCTGGGAATAGTTGCAGACTCAGTCAATCTGAACGTAGGCTACCTCAATGGTACACACCCAAATGGCACCCTATTCCTTATGTAGTGCATTGCTTTTGACCATGGCCCAAAGGGTTCTGGTAAAAATTAGTGCACTATATAGGGAATAGGGTGTCATATGGGACATACACAGTGTAATAGACCAACCAGTAATGTGAAGCAAGGAGACATTTTCAGCAGAGGTGCCAGGCTTTCGCTTAATCTGGCCAAAGATGTGAGGAATGCTTCCACTGGGCACCTTTTGCATTATCAGTTCAAGTTAGAATAGAAAGTTTTAATTTTGGACTGTAAATTGTTTGCTCTCTTTCTTAGGCTCTGGTGACATGGATGGACTCAACAAGGTGAATATTATAACATGACTATACATCTAGATTCCTATCAAAACATGACAAATCATTTTGACTTACTTAATCAAAATTAAGCAATACATTTGTTTGCATCTACTACTTATTGTTTAGCCTGGTCCCAGATCTGTTTGTGCTCTTGCCAACTCCATTGCTGTCAATGTCAAGAGTGACCATGAGTGGGCATGATGGCACAACAGACTGGCACTGAGGTTACTTGTACTTGCCTATTTACTTACTTTCTTTCCTGCCCCATCGTAGAACTCCCCAAACAATCTAAGTGGCATTAGCAACCCTCCTGGAACCCCAAGGGATGGCGACGAGTTGGGTGGGAACTTCCTGCACTCCTTTCAGAGTGAGAATGTAAGTCCCCTACCCCACCATGCATCTCCTATGGACCGTGTTCATTAGGGCATGCAATAGAAAATGTTTTAAAAATGAAAATGAGGCCAGGTTGTCCCCTGAATTTTTTTTTTCTGTCTGATTTTGTTCCATTTGATGCCTAATGAACATGACCAAGCTGAGGTCACTGTTGCCGGTAATGAAGCTTTGAAGAAGCCTATATGTAGGGCTTGTAGGGCAGTATTGACTCCACAGTAATGCTACAGTGACCGCATCATTGACTCTACAGTGGCGGTGTAGTGTGGAGGCACTGGGCGGTTGCCAAGTAACCGTTTTGGCTAGAGTGAGGAAGTGCATTTTAATATCTACGGTTGCAGTATGTGCTCTATTGTTTTGTAGGTGTGTCAGGCCATTCTAATAGGGTTTCCTGATTTTAACTCTTTGCCGTCTGTACCCCTCAGCAGTACTCCCCTACCATGACGATGAGTGTGTGACATCCCCCTCCATCTGCCATCACTCAGAAGATCTGAGCTCATAACAGGACATGGCCAAAACACATCAGCACAGAACCAGGGACAGGGTGCCATTTTGGTTCCACACAATTCCAGAATGCTGATATACAAATTTTCAAAATTGCTGGTGACTTCTGCTCCTCCTCGTTCCAAATGAAGGACAGTTCTTCATTAATCACCACCCCAAGTGTGACGAAACCAGCTACTGAAACTACTGCATACATGACACGTGCTTTCATTATTGCTTTGTAGTGCAAGATGTGCAGAACACGTTTCAGCTGTTGCCACCTAAAACACTGAAGTGTGCATTGTGAGCTAGGAGAAATGTATCAATTTATATTTTGTTTTCATATTTCAGGTCCTGCATTCAGCCACATGTAGTATGTCAGAAAACTAGTCCGATAACATGGGGAGTCCATGTTAACATGGGGAGTCCGAATCTGCCTGTAACTCTGACCACTCCATTGAATGACTTTGTCCCGATGTACTAGCCCCCACTATTTTGCCACATTTTAAAGGGGAAGTGGGGTGATCGAATTGGGCCTTAGTAAAAATAGGGTCTTTAACAGTTTTGAAGTGCTCAGTGTTTTTTTTTAAATGTCGGATGCGATGCGTTGACAGTTGCATCGATAGGGAATGTGTTTTGTGGGTTTTGTTGAGGAGAGCAATCTTATTCTGCACTGGTTTTATGTTGCTTTTTATTTAAACAGTCTGACTGCTGTTCTTGTTCTGTCAAGGAGGAACGCAAACTTGGGCTAAACCATGTGTGTGGACACAACAGGGGTGCATGACTGAGATCTGTGTACAACATACTACCTAGCGCTGCTCCAGTCCACATGTGGTGTGTTTAACCTCTTCCTTGCCTGTGCTTAACTCTGCCCTTTTTCTCGCCATCATTGTAGCCGTCTCTGTTTTCCTACTGTTCCATCACGGTGACGATGAAAGAGTTAAACCCATTGTAACCTGAGATGCAGATTGATAGTTAATTGTTGTTTTTTTCCAGGTATTTTTTTTGTTAGTTCTTTTTGCCCCTCCTTGCAGTTTTAAAAAATATTTTGATACAAATTTGACTACGTATATTGGCCCAGTTATTTTGAGATTAGTCAAAGCTTTGTAAACCAATTCTAGTATCATAAACTTAGCGTCAGTCTTGTAAATGTGAAAACGTTTATTTCATTTTCTGTGAATATTAAGCATTATGTTGCTGGTATATTTTTATTTTTTTCAAATTGGGGAAAGAGTGCTTGTTAATATAATTTTACAATAACTTAACTTCTTGTCCGTTTTTTTCTTTTTTCCTGTTTGCCACTACAAAGCAAGTAGGGTCATTTAGATACTAAGTGCACCCAGACTCTCACTCACTCTCACACTCTCACAGAGCATATCCTTGTATGGACCAAAAATTAATTTCCATTCAAAATCCTATTTTCCCTTACAATTACGGTTAGGGGTTAAGTTTAGTGTAACACTAAACCTAACTGTAACCCTAACTCCTAACCGTAATTGTAACCCTAAACCTGACCCCTAAGCCTGAAATAACCGTTGTCCTTGTTTTACTATCCTTGTGGGGACTTTTGGGGATTTCCGGTCCCCCTGAGGATAGTAATACAAGCAGCCACACACACACTCTCACAAAACACCCTGACTCTCTCAAATGTCTGACAATAGGTATCAGGGAAGTGTCCAAGAGAAGAACTAGTAACAAATATTTAAACTAACAACTTGTATAAAAATAAAAGTACATATATTTTATAAAGTACACCCCAAATATGATTATTGCTGTTTTACAAACAGCAGAGGAGTCTTTCATACAAATTGGACAGACAGGAAGTGACTTCTAGTCCAAGTTCTGCATCCCAAATGGCACCCTTTAACCTATTTAATGCACTACTTTCAACAAGGGCCCATAGTGCACTACTTTTGACCAGTACTCTATATAGGGTGCCATTTGGGATGCATACCCTGTGTCACAGCTGCTTTTTCTGACCACTTTCATCCAATGGATTAGGGCCTTTGTCAACTTCTACCTTACTCGCAGTACACAGCAAACACATTCACAGTACAGAACATCTCTCGGCTCCGGTAGGTGTGGGCAACACAGGTGTCTGTATGGGGGTCCCAGAGACTGCGACTAGCCAGTACCAGCCCTCCATCTCCTTGCTGCCCCTCTGGACCCAGCTGGCCTAGGGCCACAGTACACACTAGCCGGTAGCGGTCAGGACACACAGTCCTCACTAGAGCCTTCACCTCCTCACTCAGCGCCTTGACCAGACCACCACAGGAGGGGGCGCTATAACCCACCGCCTCCAGCCGAGACGACAGGAAGTCCTGCAGCATCTGATGGACCAGGCCGCAGGGGAACTGCTCGGCAGGCTGGGCCGAACCTGCTGGCACCTGAAGAGCAGAGGTGAATCCCAATTGTATTACCTTGATTTCTCAAGTCCTCCTCACTTTCTTCTCCAAGCGCATTGGAGGACAAGATCTGACATTCCTCCCCTCTGCCATTCTCCTCCAATGCACTTTGAGAAGGTGAGGAGAGAAGACACGAGGAATCGAGGACATAAAATTGAGATTCAATCCAAAGACAGCCAGGGATGTGTCTCAACAGTCAAAAATTCCTCTCTGCCTTGTCTCATGTATAGGCACTGCTCTGAAAACACAGGAAAGGTAAATGCAACATGGTGGTTGGCCACCAGGGACTTGCTTTTGTCTGTCCGGTTTCTTCTATAAATCAAGTCAAGTTTTATTTGTCACACATGTGTTTAGCAGATGTTATTGCGGGTGTAGCGAAATGCTTGTGCTTCTAGCTCAGAAAGTGCAGTAATATCTAACAAGTAATATCTAACAATTGCACAACATACAATTTAAGTCGGAAGTTTACATACACCTTAGCCAAATACATTTAAACTCAGTTTTTCACAATTCCTGACATTTAATCCTAGTAAAAATTCCCTGTCTTAGGTCAGTTAGGATCACCACTTTATTTTAATATAATAATATAATAATTTTAAGAATGTGAAATGTCAGAATTATAGTAGAGAGAGATTTATTTCAGCTGTTATTTCTTTCATCACATTCCCAGTGGGTCAGAAGTTTACATGCACTCAATTAGTATTTGGTAGCATTGCCTTTAAATTGTTTAACTTTGGTCAAACGGTTCGGGTAGCCTTCCACAAGCTTCCCACAATAAGTTGGGTGAATTTTGGCCCATTCCTCCTGACAGAGCTGGTGTAACTGAGTCAGGTTTGTGCAGTTGCAAACCGTAGTCTGGCTTTTTTATGGCGGTTTTGGAGCAGTGGCTTCTTCCTTGCTGAGCGGCCTTTCAGGTTATGTCGATATAGGACTCGTTTTACTGTGGATATAGATACTTTTGTACCTGTTTCCTCCAGCATCTTCACCAGGCCCTTTGCTGTTGTTCTGGGATTGATTTGCACTTTTCACACCAAAGTACATTAATCTCTAGGAGACAGAACACGTCTCCTTCCTGAGCGGTATGACTGCTGCGTGGTCCCACGTGGTACCTTCAGGCGTTTGGAAATTGCTCCCAAGGATGAACCAGACTTTTTTTCTGAGGTCCCATGATGTCAAGCAAAGAGGCACTGAGTTTGAAGGTATGCCTTGAAATACATCCACAGGTACACCTCCAATTGACTCAAATGATGTCAATTAGCCTATCAGAAGCTTCTAAAGCCATGACATAATTTTCTGGAATTTTCGAAGCTATTTAAAGGCACCGTCAACTTAGTGTATGTAAACTTCTGACCCACTGGAATTGTGATACAGTGAATTATAAGTTAAATAACCTGTGTGTAAACAATTGTTGGAAAAATTACTTGTGTCATGCACAAAGTAGATGTCCTAACCGACTTGCCAAAACTATAGTTTGGTAACAAGAACTTTGTGCATGAGGGGTTGAAAAAATAGTTTTAATGACTCCAACCTAAGTGTATGTAAACTTCCGACTTGAACTGTAGACCCAATACACACAAATCTAAGTAAGGAATGGAATTAAGAATATATACATATATGGACGAGCAATGACAGAGCGCCATGGACTAAGAGAATATACAGTAGAATATTATAGAATACAGTATGTACATATGAGATGAGTAATGCAATATATGTAAACATTATTATAGTGACTAGTGTTCCATTTCTTAAAATGGCCAGTGATTTCTATAGGGAGCAGCAGCCTCTGTGCTAGTGATGGCTATTTAACAGTCTGATGGCCCTGAGATAGAAGCTGTTTTTCAGTCTCTCGGTCCCAGCTTTGATGCACCTATACTGACCTCACTTTCTGGATGATAGCGGGGTGAACAGGCAGTGGCTCGTGTGGTTGATGTCCTTGACAATCTTTTTGGCCTTCCTTTGACATCGGGTGCTGTAGGTGTCCTGGAGACCGCACCACCCTCTGGAGAGCCCTGCGGTTGCGGGTGGTGCAGTTGCTGTACCAGGCGGTGATACAGCCCAATAGGATGCTCTCAATTGTGCATCTGTAAAAGTTTGTGAGGGTTTAGGTGCCAAGCTAAATTTCTTCAGCCTCCTGAAGTTGAAGAGGCTCTGTTGCACCTTCTTCACCACACTGTCTGCGTGGATGGACCATTTCAGTTTGTAAGTGATGTGTACGCCAAGGAACTTGAAGCTTTCCACCTTCTCCACTGAGGTCCCATCGATGTGGATAGGGGGTTGCACCCTCTGCTGTTTCCTGAAGTCCATGATCATCTCTTTTGTTTTGTTGACGTTGAGTGAGAGGTTATTTTCCTGGCATCACACTCCCAAAACCCTCACCTCCTCCCTGTAGGCTGTCTCGTCATTGTTGCAAGCCTACTACTGTTGTGTCATCTGCAAACTTGATGATTGAGTTGGAGGCGTGCTTGGCCATGCAGTCATGGGTGAACAGGGAGTACAGGAGGGGGCTGAGCACGCACCCTTGTGGGGCCCCAGTGTTGAGGATCAGCGAAGTGGCGGTGTTGTTTCCTACCTTCACCACCTGGAGGCGGCCCGTCAGGAAGTCCAGGACCCAGTTGCACAGGGCGGGGTTCAGACCCAGGGTCTTGAGCTTAATGATGAGCTTGGAGGGTACCATGGTGTTGAATGCTGAGCTATAGTCAATGAACAGCATTCTTACATAGGTTTCCTCTTGTCCAGATGGGATAGGGCAGTGTGATGGCGATTGCATCGTCTGTGGATCTATTGGGGCGGTAAGCAAATTGAAGTGGGTCTAGGGTGACAGGTAAGGTAGAGGTGATATGATCCTTGACTAGTCTCTCAAAGCACTTCATTACATTTACATTTACATCATTTAGCAGACGCTCTTATCCAGAGCGACTTACAAATTGGTGCATTCAACTTATGATAGCCAGTGGGACAACCACTTTGTTTATTTTTATTTGTTTTATAGGGGGCTTTGCTTTCTTGGGTACAGGAACAATGGTGGCAATCTTGAAGCATGTAGGGACAGCAGACTGGGATAGGGAGAGATTGAATATGTCCGTAAGCACACCAGCCAGCTGGTCTGCGCATGCTCTGAGGACGCGGCTAGGGATGCCGTCTGGGCCGGCAGCCTTGCAGGGGTTAACGTGCTTAAATGTCTTACTCACGTCGGCTGTATCAGTGCAGATGAAGAAAATGAGATGAGACGAAGCCACTTTAGACTGAGATATGCCCAGGCCAGGGAGAGGGGTAAATCTGTTGGTCAAGTGGCTAGACTACTGTTAAAGATAAGGGCTGTTCTGTTCAACAGTGATCGCAGTTACTTTTGTGTATGGCTATATGAATGTGTTTCTCTGACCTGCTCATTGACTATAACAATAGGTTTCCTTGCCGGGACCTTCCTCGCTGCATTCTTCAGTGCAACCCGTTCCTGAGTACACACAATTAAAAACTTAACAGAGAGATACAGTATGACAACAGGGTCATATTCATTAGTGCAGACCGTAGCACAATACGGAAAACAAAAGCAAGCGTTTCTTATAGGACAAGTTCAGGTTGATTTTGTTCCTAGTGAATACGACCAATGTCTTCTTATGTTCTATACCCATCATTTATTAATCAGAAATTAACACAACGTGAATGCTAAAACGAAATACTTAACAGGCAGACTGTGGGGATTCAATTAGGTATTCAATGAGAAACACTGGGTCATGTTCAGTAGGACACACCATTGCAAAATGGTTAGCATCGTAGAACATGTAAAAAAATATTGGACAAGTTCAGGTAGTGAACCTCCCAGTTTCACTCTGTTATAAAACGTTTTCTCCCTACTGAACATGGCCCATGGGTTTGAATGGGTCCTTGACTGCATCCCAAATGACAACCTATTCCCTACATAGTGTGCTACTTCTGACCAGAGCCCTGTGTAGGGAATACTGTGCCTTTTTCTAGGGGCCCCACCTTGAGTGCCTTGGAGAACTTCTGGGCGACGAGGAGCCCTTTCAGGCTGAAGAGCCCCAGGGCCTGGGGGTTAGTGTGGGCATGAGCCTGGCTGTGAGCTGGCCTCAACGACAGTCTACGGAGATATACAGGGTCTCCCACTGACACCTGTGATTAACATATAGACACAAAGAACAGTGGCCACACCATTTGGTGGTAACCATTTGAATAATAAACATCTAGTAGATACACTAAGAAGACATTTGTCATGATGTACTTTCTCTTTCAAGGCTGGACACAAAAACATTCCAAGTTGATCATGCAACACTTTCATATAATGTATTTAAAAAAATGTTGTCCTCCATTACAATAGTTATAGGTTTATATGGTGCCTTGATTTACCTCTACTGCTTTGCTGCTCTTCTCCTGGCTCTCTCTCACCGAGGCAGTGGCTGGAACCTTGCTGCCTCTGGCGTGTTTCGCTGCCTCTCTTGATTTGTCCATTTCTAAACAGTAGTGTTAAGTACAAGTGATGATGTCCACACCACACTATATTTTTTTAGCCCATTGATCTGTAAACCACACATTTGAAAAGACATGCAATTTTAAACAACTGTAAACCTTTAAGTATGTAGCAGATGTTGATGCTAAGCAAATAAGCAATATATACTATACAAAATGTATTGTTTTACAATGCAACATATCTCTGATCCAGCTATGCTCATAGTGCACCATCCAATAGAGCTTACTCAATAGAGCTCAGCGACCCACTACAGTTAAATAGATGGTTCTGCTGAGGTTTTGCTCTTACCTGCCCAGGTTGGTTCTGCTGTAATGGTGTATGGACAGGAGCAATCGTTCCACTCGAACCTGTTCCCTCCCCCTTCTTATGTGCTTTATGTGGGTTGCCTATGCTACTCAGCCCCGCTCACCTTGCCTTGTAGCGCTGCCAAGCTCCTGTCACTGCACAAAATATTTACAGGCAAACCAATATAAGGCTCTGCATGTATTCTGCACACTGGGCAAGCCCATCACTCTACTATGCTCAGGGCTGTATTCCAATCCAAAATCTCATCCACTTGTCCCAGCTATTGTCCACTTCTCTCCTTCTCTCTGATTCTGAAACCACTGGATAGCTGTAGGGATTGGACAATAGCTTCACATTGCCCTCTGGTGGTCTATGTACAGTTTCATATAGCTCTCACCTATTTAGTTATTTCAGATTTGCTAAGGGGGGAAGCAGTGTGGAAGGATACAATTTTTTTTGATTGGAATTCAACCAGTCTTATAGGGGAGAGATCTGACAGACATCTAGCATGTTGGCTCCTGCCTCACAATAGGAACTAGGCCTAAACTGTTCCAGTGAATCCAGTCGTTGTTCTCACTGTATGCGTCCCAAATGGCACGCTAGTCCTGTTATAATGCACTACTTTTGACCAGGGCCCATAGGGAGCTGGTCAAAAGTAATGCACTATAAAGGAAATAGGGTGTGATTTGGGACAGGTCCACTGTAACAGGATGTGGCCTGGCTGGGGACGAGCCAAACCAACCTCTCCCTCGCTGGCTCAGGCCCTCCTCACAAGTTTGTTTGGAAAGTTGTAGCAACACTAAACAGTTTGTTCACTGTATCCTAGTAATTGATATATAACCTTGAGTTATGATGCCTCAGGTTTGTCTTTGATTTTCGCATTGTGCTTTTTTATTTGTCCGTTTATGTCTTATGAGCTGAGGCTGTCATGGGGATATTATACACTGAATGGAGCAAGATTGACTTTTCTTGTAAAAAATGGCTGGACATGTCTGGGCCAAAGTTCCTGCTGTCTTTGTTCTGTTTATGTGGTCTTGGTCCCGTTCCAGCCCGACTACACTGCAAACATTGTATTGCATCAACCAATGGTGGCATGCCACGTAATCGACTGTGCAGTCGGGCATCAGATTCCTATATCATGTGATGTGGTTAGCTGATATGTTAAACACCTATCCAGGCGTTTTTAGATCTGGCAGGCATCTGCAATATAGTCAGCCTGGAACGCAGCCATTCTTTTCTTTCTTTTTTTACTGCTGGTGTGGTGACCTGTTCAAAAACAACAAGGTGAGGCACGGTCTAAGTCCCAAATGGTACCCTATTCCAATGTAGTGCACTATATAGGTAATAGGGTGCCATTTGGGACAGGTCCAAGGTGAGGCACAGTCATGTGATGTGCAGATAGACTGATGAGGAGAACAACTTCTTTATTTTACGTCTCATCTTGTTACATACACTGAGTTGACAAAACATTAAGAACACCTGCTCTTTCCATGACATACTGACCAGGTGGGGGTTGCAACTCAATATTAGGAAGGTGTTCCTAATGTTTGCTATACTCAGTGTATGAAGTCAATAATCTTGTGAGAATTCTACTTGAGAGAATTCTGAACAATTAATAATCTCACGAAAACATGCAAATAAAAATGTTAATGATCCCAAGGGCAACGTCTGTTCATGAAGAGTTTTAATAAACAGGTATATCCTCATCACCACAACAACATGCTCTAAATGATCCTAAATGATTTAGCTAAATACTGCTTTCAGTTCATCAAATTACAATGACCAGAGGTTTGCACTGTAACCATCATGTAAAAAGCAGTTGCATGCCAAAGTAATTTATGAACATTCATAGACAATTTATCAAAAGCATGGTTACAGATATTTTTTACATTTTTTAGTCATTTAGCAGACACTCCTATCCAGAGCAACTTATAGGAGCAATTATGGTTAAGTGCCTTGCTTAAGGGCACATCGACAGATTTTTCACCTAGTCGGCTCGGGAATTAGAACCAGGGACCTTTCGGTTACTGGCACAACACTCTTAACTACTAAGCTACCTGCCGCCCTAATATGCCAGTGCAATTACTACATGGCTATTACACATCAAATAGACCTACCTACATTTGAGAAATTCTTCATGTTATGTAAAATACTAGATCCAGTACGAATATATATTGATAATCTAGCAGCCAAAGGGCTTGTTTCACATTCAGCCATTAGAAAGGTGTGATATTTCAATTATGTCATTACAATGTAATAACTCTGACCTGAATAAAAAAGTACAAGAATTAACTTCCTCCTTTACCTCCTATGATAACTTCCTTGTTTTACCAACACACCCATTCTGATTGAAGGGTCTCTCCATGTTTCTCTTCATCGGGTTACAGAGGCCATAGGTTTGATCTGTGTCCGTCACTAATAAACATAGAGAAAGTCTCCAAACTCAAAGATGGATAATTGGGATCCCAGAGAGCAGAATTACACATAATCATATGGGCATGGGTTAAGATAACAAAAGACAACAGAAAAACAGAGTTTTAAAGTGACAGATGTGATTCACCTCTTCCTACTTCATTTTCTCCAGGAAGGAGCACACCTCCTCAGGACTGTAGCCTCTTGGGCCCATCTTTCCCTGGTAACAGACAGAATACTGGTGATTGGACAGGTGCAACAGGTGAAAACAGAGAAGACTGGTGATTGGACAGGTGTAACAAGTGGATTTATTGGTGAACTTTGAACTGTGAAAGTGACAGACTCTCCTCTCTATGAGGCTCACAAAAGAAAGAGAGATTCAGCTGTCTAACAGGTCTTATAGGCCTCTACCTTTCTCTCTATGATATGGTAATACCTGTGTAACAGAATGTCAACAGCCTTCACTGTGTTCCAAATATCCTTTCCCATAATTCTGAAAAACTACAGAGTCAGGATGTGTGCATGTGAGGCAGAAAGCAAAGAATGCTTTGGCAGGATTCCAAAAATTCCAGACAAGAAGTGCACCTTGATTTCTCTTTACCTTTGCACACCATCAGTTTTGCTTATGCAGAAACCATTACATTTGATCTATGTGTAATCTTTTTACTATTTCCAATTTTCTTAACTGTCCTTACCTTATAAACAACCTTTCCTGCCTGCAGCACATACAGCCTCTCTGGAATAGCACCGTATTTACTAGCTGTGGTGTCTTTCATTACATCCACTACGATGGGGCACAGGGGGTCCTCTTTGACCAGGAACTGTGCTGCAGTCAGCCGCTCCTCCAGGTTTTGGTGTTTAGTGATGTCAACGTTGTTGGCAAAGACCCAACCATCTGAAGCAGAGAGACAAAATCACACTGCTGATTGTAGTGGCCTGATATTTATGTAGCCTAGGCTATATACAATATCAAGTTTAATACAACCGATTATAAAAAGCCACAATCACTTAGAATTCTTAAATTAGTTGTATAATATCTCCAGGTTTAGGATAGATTACAAAGCCATCATCACATAGGTCTATATGGCCTCATACTAGGCTCAGTTGGTAGAGCATGGAGCATGAACCGCCAGGGTTGTGGGTTCGATTCCCGGGGCCACCAATATGTAAAATGTATGCACTCATTACTGTAAGTCGCTTTAGATAAAAGGGTCTGCTAAGTGGCATATACAACGCTTTTGGAATGTATTCAGACCCCTTCACTTTTTCCAAATTTTATTCTAAAATGGATGAAATTGTTTTTTCCCCCTCATCAATATACACACAATACCCCATAATGACAAAGCAAAAACAGGTTTTTTGAAATGTTTGCAACAAAAAAATATTTTATAAACTGAAATATCACATTTACAAGTCAACCAATGACCACCTCATTCACCTGTAGAATGCGCCTCGGCAATGTAGACCACCAGGAAGTCTGCCACATCGCTGAAGTCCTTGACGAGTTGCTTGAACTCGCAAAGTTTGTACATGAACGGGGGTCAGGTACAACTTCCAAAACTCAACACCAGTGGTCTGTTGTCTAACAGACAAGAAAACACAGAAGAAGTTATAGTAGCCTAGTATTTCGAAAGGAAATTGTTAAAATAACTGGCATGAGACTGTACAGCATACTGAACACGAGCAGTCGTCAACTTACCTTTCAAATAGTTGTAGATACTGGTCCTCTTGCCTTCCAATGTAACCACAGGTGAGTCGGGAGCATTGTTGCCCACAAAAGCTTCTTGGCCGACATTAGTCCACATGTGCCCTAGGATGGTCTTGATAAAGTTCCATGACATAAAAGTCGGTCCCCAATCTTCATACTTGAACTTCGGGTTCTGGGTCATAGTTACCTTTTCACCCATTTTTAAGATAACTTTCTTGGTCAAGCTTCGTGAAATCAAATTCAGAAGCGAGAGAAACATAAATTGCATGAACGCAAAGCAAAATAAACATGGCATTGACAGATAAATGGACAATTTCCATATTAATATCATGTTTTTCTTTGTTGCTCAGCAAAGCAATAGCCTATGCGTGATTTCTAGCCTATTTTATGACGGAGTGGAACGTTATGAAAACAAACACTCCCTCCTCGAATGTTTTTGTGGGCTTTTGTCTAAAGGTTACTTTTACCCCTAACATGTATGTGATTTGATAGAGTAAAGTAGAATGTTGTCATACATTTTGGCCAAAGAATGTTACGCCATACTGCTTGAGCCCATCCAGGTCTTTTAGATCCGTTTTGGATAATTCTGACTACCGAATTTACCGTAAAGTATAACTTTTGAGCGCACTCAACAAATGTATCTCTCTAGGACAAGGAATAAGAAGTGTCTGTGTGTGTTGACCTATTCACTGAATCATCCACTAGATGTCCCTACTCAGCCACACTTCACTGATATTCATGTCTCCTATTGTCGTCAACCAATAGCCAAAGGGTCGTTCCATTTGATTTCAATCACTTTCCATACACATTTGCCAATGGTAGAAGTGGTCTGAAAGTTATACCGATACCCTCCCTACCATGAGGAATCCATGTCTTCATCACTGGAAAAGATAAACGGTTATAAAAAACCGAGTTTTATATCATTTAAAAGCTTACAAACAGGGTTGTCAAACTATTTGATCATTTCTTTTTAAAAAAGTTGTAAAAAAAAAAGAAGGTAATTGTCATCCTTTAATGTAAATTATCTAAAAAACATGTAAACTCCGTTTTTTCCCCACATACACTACCATTCAAAAGTTTGGGGTCACTTAGAAATGTCCTTGTTTTCGAAAGAAAACAACATCAAATTGATCAGAAATACAGTGTAGACATTGTTCATGTTGTAAATGGCTATTGTAGCTGGAAACGGCTGATTTTTAATGCAATATCTACATAGGTGTACAGAGGCCCATTATCAGCAAGCATCAGTCCTGTGTTCCAATGGCACGTTGTGTTTGCTAATCTAAGTTTATCATTTTAAAAGGCTAATTGATCATTAGAAAACCATTTTGCAATTATGTTAGCACAGCTGAAAACTGTTGTGCTGATTAAAGAAGCAATAAAACTGGCCTTCTTGAGACTAGTTGAGTATCTGGAGCATCAGCAATTGTGGGTTCGATTACAGGCTCCAAATGGCCAGAAACAAATAACTTTCTTCTGAAACTCATCAGTCTATTCTTGTTCTGAGAAATGAAGGCTATTCCATGCGAGAAATTGACAAAAACTGAAGATCTCGTACAACGCTGTGTACTACTCCCTTCACAGAGCAGCGCAAACTGGCTCTAACCAGAATAGAAAGAGGAGTGGGAGGCCCCAGTGCACAACTGAGCAAGAGGACAAATACATTAGAGTGTCTAGTTTGAGAAACAGACGCCTCACAGGTCCTCAACTGGCAGCTTCATTAAATAGTACCCGCAAAACACCAGTCTCAACATCAACAGTGAAGATGCGACTCCGGGATGCTGACCTTCTAGGCAGAGTTGCAAAGAAAAAGCCATATCTCAGACTGGCCAATAAAAATAAAAGATTAAGATGGGCAAAAGAACACAGACACTGGACAGAGGAAGATTGGAAAAAAGTGTTATGGACAGACAAATCGAAGTTTGAGGTGTTCGGATCACAAAGAAGAACATTTGTGAGATGCAGACCAAATGAAAAGATGCTGGAGGAGTGCTTGATGCCATCTGTCAAGCATGGTGGAGGCAATGTGATGGTCTGGGGGTGCTTTGGTGGTGGTAAAGTGGGAGAGTTGTACAGAGTAAAAGGGATCTTGAAGAAGGAAGGCTATCACTCCATTTTGCAATGCCATGCCATACCCTGTGGACGGCGCTTGATTGGAGCCAATTTCCTCCTACAACAGGACAATGACCCAAAGCACAGCTCCAAACTATGCAAGAACTATTTAGGATAGAAGCAGTCAGCTGGTATTCTGTCTATAATGGAGTGGCCAGCACAGTCACCGGATCTCAACCCTATTGAGCTTTTGTGGGAGCAGCTTGACCGTATGAAGTGCCCATCAAGTCAATCCAACTTGTGGGAGGTGCTTCAGGAAGCATGGGGTGAAATCTCTTCAGATTATCTCAACAAATTGACAACTAGAATGCCAAAGGTCTGCAAGGCTGTAATTGCTGCAAATAGAGGATTCTTTGACGAAAGCAAAGTTTGAAGGACACAATTATTATTTCTATTAAAAATCATTATTTCTAACCTTGTCAATGACTACATTTCCTATGCATTTTGCTATATTTCCTATTCAAACTCATTTCATGTATGTTTTCATGGAAAACAAGGACATTTCTAAGTGACCCCAAACTTTTGAACGGTAGTGTATATGTTGTACCTTAGACACAATTTGACATAATCTGAGGTGTTTGTGTTGTGCCCGCAATCGGTTGAGACATAGCATGCTCTTGAATACAGGGTGGGTGTCATTTTAATCATAGAAATATAATTCATAGAATGGACATGTCCCTTCAGACCACTGCAATTTAGCTGGTACATCATTGAAATGTAAGTTGGAATGAAATGTTAACTTCCAATTACTAAGGAACAAAATAAGACAGCACTAAGGTGAATACATTTAAATGAACATATTTTTATTGCCGCACAAACGTTTCGGGTATGACCCCCTTCTTCAGCGTGCATAGGAGGCAGTGTTACAACAACAGTACAGGACACACAGTTGGGCATAATTATAGATTCACAAAGTCAATATTGGCCCAATCAAGAGATCCTAGCAGAGGGAGCTGTGGGGAAAACATGAAAATACACTGAGTATACCAAACATTAAGAACACTTTCCAAATTCGTCAGGGCATGGACTCTACATGGTGTCGAAAGCGTTCCACAGAGATGCTGACCCATTTTGACTCCAATGCCTCCCACAGTTGTGTCAAGTTGGCTGGATGTCCTTTGGGTGGTGGACCATTCTTGATACACACAGAAAACTGTTGAGCGTGAAAAACCCAGCAGTGTTGCAGTTCTTGACACAAACCGGTGCACCTGGCACCTACTACCATACCACATTCAAAGGCACTTAAATATTTTGTCTTGCCCATTCACACTCTGAATGGCACACATTCTCAATTGTCTCAAGGCTTAAAAATCCTTATTTAACCTGTCTCCTCCCCTTCATCTACACTGATTGAAGTGGATTTTAACAAGTGACATCAATAAGGGATCATAGCTTTCACCTGGATTCACCTGGTCACTCTACGTCATGGAAAGAGCAGGAGTTCTTAATGTTTTGTATACTCAGTGTATATATACACAAACACACAATAAAGATACATTCCACATTTTGTTACGTTACAGCCTTATTCTAAAATGGATTAAATAGTTTTTTCCCCTCATCAATCTACACACAATACCCCATAATGACAAAGCAAAAACAGGTTTTTAGACATTTTTGCAAATGTATTAACAATACAAAACTGAAATATGACATTTACATAAGTATTCAGACCCTTTACTCAGTACTTTGTTGAAGCACCTTTGGCAGCGATTACAGCCTCGAGTCTTCTTGGCTATGACACTACAAGCTTGGCACACCTGTATTTGGGTAGTTTCTCCCATTCTTCTCTGCAGATCCTCTCAAGATCTGTCAGGTTGGTTGGGGAGCGTCGCTACACAGCTATTTTCAGGTCTCTCCAGAGATGTTCGATCGGGTTCAAGTCTGGGCTCTGGCTACTACCATACCACGTTTGAAGGTGAACCTTCACCCCAGTCTGAGGTCCTGGGCGCTCTGGAGCAGGTTTTCATCAAGGATCTCTCTGTACTTTCCCTCGATCCAGACTAGTCTCCCAGTCCCTGCCTCTGAAAAACATCCCCACGGCATTATGCTGCCACCACCATGCTTCACCATAGGGATGGTGCCAGGTTTCCTCCAGACTTGGCGCTTGGCTTTCAGGCCAAAGAGTTCAATCTTGGTTTCATCAGACCAGAGAATCTTGTTTCTCATGGTCTGAGAGTCCTTTAGTTTGGCCGGGCGGCCAGCTCTAAGAAGTGTCTTGGTTGTATCCAAACGTCTTCCATTTAAGAATGATGGAGGCCACTGTGTTCTTGGGGACCTTCAATGCTGCAGACATTTTTTGGTACCCTTCCCCAGATCTGTGCCTCGACACAATCCTGTCTCGGAGCTCTATGGACAATTCCTTCGACCTCATGGCTTGGTTTTTGCTCTGACATGCACTGTCAACTGTGGGACCTTATATAGACAGGTGTGTGTCTTTCCAAATCATGTCCAATCAATTGAAGTTACCACAGGTAGACTCCAATCAAGTTATAGAAACATCTCAAGGATGATCAATGGAAACGGGATGCACCTGAGATCAATTTCGAGTCTCATAGCAAAGGGTCTGAATACTTATGTAAATAAGGTATTTCTGTTTTTTATGTTTAATACATTTACACACATTTCTACAAACCAGTTTTCGCTTTGTCATTATGGGGTATTGTGTGTTGATTGATGAGATTTTTGTTCATTTAATCCATTTTAGAATAAGGCTGTAACGTAACAAAATGAGGAAAAGGTCAAGGGGTCTTAATACTTTCCGAAGGCACTGTATTTATAGCCTCCTACAAAAAACAAGAGAAGGAACATTCTTTATTGTGACCTGCTGGGGCAAGGGTGCCCAAGCAATCTATCCAATGTGTCTCTCTTTGGAGAAGTAATTTATCCCTATCTCCTATATCCTACGTGACGCCTTCACTAGTCAATGCCCAAATAACGTAAGGCACGTAGTTCATGATTATGGCAATTGAAATGCTGGCAACAGGTGATTCTTCATTGTGGTTGCGAATGGAGGCATCATGCTTACAAATCCTTGTCTTAAGTTCACGTTTGGTCTTGCCCATATAATAAAAGTTACAGGAACACTTAAGGAGATGTACAACATATTTTGTGTTACAGGTTATTTTACCTCCAACCTTTATCCTCTAACCTGAACGGGGATGGATAAGAAAGTTCCCTCTGATCATAGCATTACAGTGAACGCAGTTGTGGCAAGGGAAATTGCCATCAGGAATGATAGACATTAAACTTTAAATTACTACCACAAAGATGGCCACCGGTCCACCCACTCGAATGTCCACTTAAATAGGAATGTA